AAGCATCCGTCTCTTTCTCGTTCTCTCCCGCCCCCCCCCCCTCGCTTGCCTCACCGATATTCCCGGGCTTTTGTGAGAGAGCCGCGCGGTTTCCATTCCTTTGCCGCTGTTGTAAGCACACCACGTCACTCGGCTCTTGCTCGTTCCCTGTCTCTCTTTCTCCCTCTTTCCCTTCAATCTCTATCACGCGCGCAGTATCCTCCCTATCTCTGCCGTCCTTTCTCTCTCTCTCTCGCTTTACTATCGTTTACTACGACGCGTAAAACGAAAGCCGATGACCGGAGGGGTATACGCCGAGCGTCAGGGGTAGGCTGAATTTAATTTAAACACACACCACGCGCGCCTGCAGGTGCCCAAACCTGACGCACGCGCCTTCTATGTACGCTCTACTAGACACACACACACACACACACAATAAAACGACAGCGTGTAAATTAATTACACGGTAAAACGTGTTGTTCCAAAAACAGCCCGTTCCGATTCGTACGCGTAAACGTCGAAACGTGGCTTAATTAGACCGTTCGAACGGCGCGGCGGCGCGAATTCTCGAGGTTTTTTTTTGTTTTATACTATTTTGATCATTCATAAAAGTTTTCACAAGCCCATTTGTGACCGACAACGAGTATCCGTCAAAAGTGTTGTCGACAGGACGACGTGGCCCGTTCCCCGGAGAGTAAACCCGTCTTTTCCCGGGAGGTCGCTGTGACGACGGTGACGAGGAGGTACACGAGAAGAGTTAATGCCGGAAATCCCGGCAAGGGTCCCGCCGCCTGCCGTACAAAAGGGATCTTTTCAAGTAATTTGAAAAATTTACGACCCGTGCGTTTGACAGTGTATTTCCACCTCCCGCAGACTTGCCGACTGCAACAACAACAACTGCAACAACAACATTAATCGCTAACGCTCATCATAAAATACCTGGAGTTGTGCAGTCTATGATTTAGGTACGCTGCACTATTAACACGTATTACAATATGCGTAAACATTATGGGGGCGTTCAAAAAGGCAAGCAAAAGTCAAAATGTTAACCTGAACAGAAAAGCCCTTCTCGGTTTCTCATCCAAAATTGCGAAAGCGCAACTACAAAAATGCATTATTCTCCGTCGAAAACCACGCTACTCGCCTACACTGCGGTTTTCTGTCGACTAACTTTAGTCAATTTATTAAAGTACCATAAAGAATGAAGTCAATTAGACTCGGTTAGGTAAGGGTTCTTTGTAGACTTCGAGTAGTTTTAGTGTAAAATTGTTTGTTGTAAAATCGAAAAAAATATTATATTATGAAAGGCGAAATATTTAATTTTACAATACGCCCTAAGGCCTAATTAATAGACGTTTTGTAAGATCGGTTTACTAAACTGTTAATTACCAACTCGATAAATATTTCTTTTTATGTATGTATTAGTAATCAAGAAAAGTTAATAATAATATGCAAATGCCGATCACTAACCACTTCTATATATCAACATGTAAATAAAAAAATATAAATATTTTTAGGCTTAAAATGTTTTATATTCAAAGATTTTTAATTATGTACAAAACTATTAGGTCTACGCTAATTTTTCTAATTTTACTATGAAACCAAAAAATGCTAATAATTTGGTAATCTTCAGTGAAAATATGTTAAATACAATTTCAGACCATCTGGGTAGCACTTAACGTGAGACTTGTTCACTTTGGTTTATTGGAAGCGTCATATAAAATTACCATTATCTGGCGATGTCTTACACAAAAAATCAAATAAAAATCGTCACCGGCCTCAGTAACCGTATGGCGTATTAATGAATTGCTTAAAACGAGGAGAGATAATAAGAAGGGACGAGATTGAGTGACGTTACATAATTTATTCAAATTGATTTCGTTAATTGAATTCCAACCGCTTAATTGGCAACGAAACGTTTATGAAGCATAATTAGCAGTCGACCCGGTTAAGAAGCATTCTTCAGAATAAAACCGCGTTTGCTTAATTAACAGTTACTTCGCTGACGAAACCAAGTATATCCTTATTTTTTTTTTGCTTCACTCGGTCGCGTGTGCGTTATTCTTTTCCAGTATCTACTGTTTTCGGAGTGAATTACTTGTTGCCACTTGCCACGCACAAATGGCGGCGGTCTTCCCTCGACTGTCTATGTATATAACAAACACAGGGACGGCAATTAATTTTCTGAGGGTGACGACGGTCATTGTGAACAATTTTTGTTTTTTTTCGAGTAGTAGGTAAATAATATTACAGGATAAAATACAATAAAGAATACAATACATTCGAAACGTAAAATAACGCCAGGAAAGGATTAAAGACGCCAAAATTAATGTTTTGTTTTTATAGGCCCATGTCCATCGTTTATTATTATTTGTCGGCATATATGTTGATCAAAATATTGTCATCTACTATGTTATCGTGTACCAGTGCCATAACAGTATGCGGTATAAGACAAATATAATAAACGTTGTGTGTGTGTGTGTGTGTGTCACCTTAAATGAGTATAAAAAATAATTATACTATATATAGTCAAAATACTCAGAACGTATATTTTCATCTAATTTGTTGCTCGTCGGATTTTCAGATGTTCAGACCAAATACTGTGTGTCTCTTCTTACTGTTTGTAAATGAAACATGATAACGCAAAAGCGCCTAAAAAAAAAAAAAAAAACTTTCTATAGACGTTTTGCGAAGATGATGTTGAACGACGATGTAGCTCTACGACAGAGATCAAACCGGCAAAACAAAAAAAAACGTATTTACCAAAAATCATATTAAAAGCGCATATTTTTATACATGTCAAAACATAATACATATATATAAACTATGTGCGTCTCGTGTGGTTTTATTTGGTTTTTTTTTTTATTCTATGTTTGCCATGTTTTTGTTTTTGCCACCAAGTGTTAATGATAGTTGCACGTGTGGAAATACATTACAATTATACTATAATAATCATATACAACAATATTAGTAATAATAATAACGTTACTTTACAATTTTTAAATCCCGGACAGTTTTCCGTTGTTTGTTTTTTCGGAAGTTTCTTTTTATTATAAATTATTTTTATAATTTTGATTTAACATATTATTATAACGTAATTATTATTGTCTATCCATCAATCATATCACTTATACCATATTAGTCAGTTATAAAATGAATAATTAAAAAAAAACATCATCATTCGTTAACTACCTAGCTAAGAAAAAAAGACAGTTTATTGGAGACGGAGGGTAGTGAGGATAAAAGTAGTGAGAATGAGCACTTAATTCAAAATTTAAAAAAAAAACAGGAAAATGTTATAGACTGTCCTATACTCCTGTGTTACTTACTCATCACAGTTGTACCGGTCAATCTCAGGTTGTTCCTAAATAAAGTTTAGGGTGTCGATATAAGCGAATTTTTTTATAGTTTTCATTTATCATCATTTAAAATTTACTTGACTGACATATCATCACGTGCTCATTAAAACGGTTAAAAAAAATAAAATGGTGAATAAAAAAAGGATTATCGCTTAAAAGATATTTACAAAAAAAACATAATATGCGTGTTCTAGAGCTTTCGTTTTGTAGGTTTTGGTGTAATGAATCAATTGTTTACATGTTTACAAGTTATTCACATATAAAACTTTAAAAAAAAAAATCGGTAATAATAAAATAATATCCATCGGTAATAAATTTTCATTAAAACCATTTCAACGTCATACAGTTACTTTATCAATAAAACAACAATATTATATTTAATTTGTATGTTGCATAATATAGATATCATAAGCATATATAGATATATATAAATATAATATACTAGGTATATTATTACTACTTGATTTACTGTTTGATGTGCAGGGTTTTTGGTTTGATGTGTTTTACAGTATTATTATTATTATATTTTTATTTATTATAAATACTTACAGGGTGATTCATTAAGGATAAGACAAAAATTTGAATACCTAAAATTGTAAAACAACTTAAACTAAAATGTCTCTAAATAGAAAAACTAAAAAATTACAAATAAATCAAGAGAAAATAAGTGTCTTATCCTTAATACCATCGCCTTGTATATATTTATTTATATTTGTGTTGTATAAAAACGAAGCAATAATTGGCAATATAAGTACACATAATTTTATTAATTATTTATGTGTAACTATACGTTTTGTATTTTATTAAACACAAATTATAAATATTTATATGTTATATATAAATATATACATTTTTTAATCACGGGGGTTTGATATGACACAACGTATTTTTTTATCACAACAATATTTAACTATTATACTATATGAATGCGACAGTGCTGCTTTAGGTTTTTATTAAAGTTTTTGATCTGTTGTTATTTGAATATTTAGTAAATTAACTGTTTGATAATATTAACTACATATAGTAATTATTTTTTGATATTATGTTGATGAACTTAACAAGTTAAATTGTTTTTTCTGTTTAGCTAATGCGTTTTACTTAGCATTTTTTTTTACCAGTAGTTTTTATAGACCTTTTTTTATTATTAATTAATAAGCGACAAGTCGTTGACGGTTTTAGGTTATAGCGTAACCATCTTGTGTCGTTTTGCTCCGAATTAACTTTCAACAAACAATAATAAAATAATTACCCAACGTACACAATATTTTTGTTTTAAAAACTTGTTTGTCAAAATATGTATGTATTATAAATGGTAATTTAGGGGAAAATGGCATGATATTATACCGTATAGACAGAATGTATAGGCAACATGAATACTTAGGTGTATATAGATAATAATATATTACTATAGTACATCGCTCATAAGTCATAACGTTAAGTTAAGGGTTGGTAGAACGATAGAGTCGTTGAGTCTGTACCAAATAGAATATAATAGAATCCCTCCTTTGTATTTTTTTATTCTCCCCTTTTCGGATTACCTACCGTTTAAAAATGTTAATGACACAACTGTTAAGGGGCGAGAGGACTTTTCATTTAAACTTTTTTTTTTTTTTTTTAAACAAGTTAATTAATTATTTAATGTATTATTGTCTACTTTAACAGGATACCATCATCGTACGGAATGTGCTCGAACGGTTTAAAATGGTGAATATTAATTACACATACTTTTTTTTTTTACTATTTATTTAACTACAATTATTATTAATTCACCGAGCTTTTGGGGAAAAACGCTCTTCACGAATTTGTTCGCGTTTTATATTCCTTCCCAGCCTTTAAACGCCAACCGACCAGAGCAATGTTATAAAAATACCCGTTTGTACAAATCACAATATTATGCCGTATAAGGAAAGGAACTAACGCTGTGTTATATTATGTATGGCCTCGGGGAAAGCGTTTTAATTTATGTCCGACCATATTACACGATTATACCGGCAGCATCTCATCTATGCCTGGGTACGATTTTCAGGTAAATTGGTTCCCGGTAAACTTGACATTAGTCTCGACTGACCTATTATTTTTCTTGCCGACTACCCGACCCTTCTACCGTCCTTTTTTGTTTTTTTTTTTCTGTTTACTTTAAGTACGTGTGTGGCATTACACTTACACGGGTTACGCTGACATAGGCCACAGCAAGCACAACACATATATACACAAAACCGAGCTTTTTTGTTGGTTTTTTTTTTTTTGCTTCATTGGTCATAAAATTATTTTCCTCTCACGGTTTTCGGCTATTTATCCCTTCCGGTCCGGAATACAGCGTCGACCCAGATCACCGTATATTTATACACATTTACGAGTGCAGTAAAAATAAAAAACCATCCAAACGACTTTTCGTACAAGCGCATCGCGTTTGAGTGTACCCACGTCCGTATACGACTCGGATCTGAATAATGTACAAAACAACAGTGTTATAAATTATCTAAATAGGTTAAAGTAACAAGCATAAATATTGTATTCGATAGCTATTACAATACCTAACCTAACCACCCCTAAACGAACGGTTTTATAAAATATCCCTGAAATTGAGGTTTATCCTTTTGATGATTTAGTATCAAGGGTGGTTTGTGTTGTCCTTAATATGATATTTACACAGTTAAAATTAAACAAAATAACAAACACAAATGCTTACCATCAATGAATCTTGCTATTGAGTAAATACTTATAAACTTAAATTTTCATGTATTTAAAATAATTTACCAAATTCTTACATATTTATAAAATTATACCAAAGTCTAGAGCATGTAACTTTTGTTGAACATTAAATCAGTTACAACTTTTCAATTATTAACACAATGTCTGTTCGTTAATGCCAGCCAACGCCAAGTTTGTCGACGGTATGCACGCCATGTACCGGTGCTCATTATAAAATTTCGCATACATTACAGTGGTATTATGTTAACATATTTTTGTATTATTATTATTATTCAAACCCGATATGACAAAAAATAAAAATCCTTGTCGAACGTTTCAATTAATCCACATAACAGGAAGTCTCTCCAACAATAAATGAGCAGACCGTAACGAGTTCCCTGTAATATATTATATTGTACACCTATTAATGTCTCTACAGAATCAAAAGACCACACGCGTACCGACAATGTTATAAAAAAAAACGTTAAGCAACTAATCCCTTGCCCGATTTTTTAAATGAATACTATACCTATATTATATTACACTTATTGAAAACGCATTTTTAAGTTTCATAAATTTTGAAATGTAAAACTAGTACAATAATTATTGTTGTAGGTAATGAAATGCGATATATTTTCACGGGTTAGAGAGTTTATTTTTTAATATGTGCGTTTATATGTCTGCCCAAGAGTTCAATGACACGAATAAACAAAAACCAAACGAGCGGCAAAAAAATACTGACTCCCCTTGGGTCGTAAGGTTTTTATTTTTAGGAATACACGTACACATAATAGCTGTGTTGTAGGATATACATAAAAATGAATAAGTTATGTCCATTTTTAAACAATATAAAGGGTTTAGGGTCAAATTAATGACACGTTCAAATTAAAATTCATCATTAAAAGGAAGTAGTCTGTCGTTATTGAAAATACCCACATAATTAAGTATAACGATTATAATACACTCGAACGTTTGCATAGGTACAATTTTTTAATAAAGAAAACACACATACACCCTATTTTGCCAAACAAAATAAAAAAAACAACAACGTAGGTGTACATATTTTATTTAACAAGAAGTTTTTTTTATACTTCTAATCTTGTCATATTTATCGGTCGAATCATAAAAAAAATTATTAAATTTTCTCACAAACTCTGACAATCCTAATTTTTTTTTTATAGTGGTTAGCATAATATTATTTGTTTAAGCGTGTTACCATAATGAATTTAACGCAATCATAAATAATAGTGATGACGCGTTTAAACGACAGAATATTCTTGATCTATAAGAAGGTTAGCATAACTATAATCAAAATGCATGATCCTGCAGCTATACTTATGACTAACGTACATTGTTGTTTAGTCGGTATTAGGTCATGCCAGTTTTCCCTATCTACATTTTTGATCTTTCAGGCCATTGTTAAGTAAACATGGTCGAAAATTTAAATAATTTGCCCTGAAACCAAACGTAAAATGCGTGGGTGCGCGTGAAAAAGGGGTCAAGTCACAGTGTGGTGGAAAACGAGCAATGTACACGAACAAATTAAGAAAAAAACCTCCAACGATTGTGCTATAGTATATAAGTCTCGCTTATTTAAGAAAGCGTAATTTTAATGTGCGTTTTCGGGTTAACAAATTAACCACCCTATCTCTAATTTTTGCAATTTTATTGAAAATCTTGTATTGTTAGTACTGAACAATTTGGTTTTTTCACTGACTTAACCCGTTTTTTCCGGGCACCCACGCATTCCTTGTGCATAATATTTTTGTAGTGTTTAGGGAAATAGCTTTTTAACCGGTAAATTGTCGACAAATATTTACTGGTATTGTTTATGTTTCAGGGTGCAGCCGAGTTACTTGTACCAGAATCAAGCGGCCACCGCGGCGTACTTAGGCGGCGGCGGCGTCATGCCGCTGGCTCCTTCACACGCCGCAGCAATGGCTGCGGCCACGTCGCAGTTTTACGAATACCAGAACGCGGCCGCAGCCGCAGCCGCGGCCGCCGCCCTTTCGTCCTATCCATCGCAGTACGCTGCTGCAGCCGCAGCGGCCGCGTCCTTCGATCCGTACACAACAGCAGCCGCAGGTAACGCATTCCGCAAACTCACTCTCCTAGCTCCTTTTTCCAATAAAAGTTTTCTCCGCTCCACTTCCCTAAGTGGGCTCTCCGTCCACTGTCATAGTCTGTAAATTGTATATCTGATTGAACATATTTCAAACTAAAAAAATTATAATAAATATTTTAAGTTATCGAAACATTTCTAATCGCTGGATTTTTCATCAAACTTTTTCGTCACATATATTAAAAAAACTCTTTCGGTTTTTTTGTTTAATATCTTGATCTACCGAACCCTTCCGGTTTGTCCGCCACAAAAGTGTTTTCTGTTATTATATACTTCCTCCCGCGTGCCAACGAACCAGAACCGCGACTTATATCCGGCCCGTTCAGTTTTTCCGTCGTCGCTTCGTAAACACTGTTCCAATTTTAGATAGGTAGAACATTTCGCGTTGATCAATGGTTTGATAAATTAATGAAAAACATGGTACTCATCAGAGGGCAAGGAGAGACTTATCCCCACTGGAAATCTACTAATCACAAATTAACATCTGATAAGGAATTTAACAAAAGTTTGATTTTCACTATTTCATTACTTCCACCTTCTACAAATTGCCTTAATAAAATGGACACTCTAAACCGACCGTAGGTACGTTAATATATCGAAATTAGCTATTTTTATGAACTGCCACGGCTAAAATTGTTCCAGCTGAACTGTCGATTTTCAGGACTCTCATTTGGTATTCTTATTCATTCTCTCTAATATTTGGTCATGTGGATCACCTAAAAGTTTCCCATAATATTGATTTTTATTACATCTATTTATTAAAGACTAAATTACAGTCTAATTTTTTGTTAAAACTTGATATTAGACTAAAATGATTAAAATCGTTACATTAACTATAAGAACATATTATTATGTTAGACGTGGTGAAACAGCTAAATTTTCCAAAAACGTGCATCTCTTCCCGAGACATGTTTCACGCCCCGAAAGAAGTGGCGAGCTGTGTGACGCCCACTCTTAAGTGGAACCTTAGTCGCTTTGATGCGCCTTTGGTGCCCGTAATACCCCTCCATGATAAAGGCGCGGATTCAGGATGTCTGATTGGGGGGGGGGGGCATCAAATAATATCAATAGATATTATCAGGGTTTACTATGTTAAAATATTTTGAAATCAGGATAATTATGATTGAGACGAAGTTTAGGTACCTCGAAATTATTTATTTAAGTAGCCCAAAACTGAAAATATTACGTGCAGACTATTGGTGCCCTAAATGATCGTTATTTTTCATTATATTTTAGTACCAAAAAGTAAACATCAATAAATAATTAAAATTTTTATTGTAATAAATAAACAAAAACAAATTTTAAATAGAATTGACCGAAAACCAATATCATTTTTACGAAATATATTAAATATAAGAATATGCAATAAGAATAATTTAATGTTTTTCTCATGTAAGTTTTGATATTATCCTATAGAAGATCAAGTTAAATATAGTATTATTATTACGTATATATATATATAATGTATACATATAATAATTTTCACCGGCCTCTTTTTTTTTTATATTTGGGGAGGGCATTGCTCCCATGCCCCCCCCCCTTGTATCTGCGTCGGCCATGATACGTGCAATGCATTTTCATAATAATGTTGACGATTTTGGGTACACCGCCTCTTCGATCTTTGGTTTCCGCCTTAAACAATCCGTCCGATGTATTCGTAGATTAACTCTGCCGTCATTTGTTCCAATTTTTTTTTTAATATTCGCCATTGTTTTTCAGCCGGTGCCGCCAACTACGTAACGCCATATTCGTACGCTGCATTGCCCAGTTCCACAGCGGGTTTACCGACAGCGGCAAGCTCGGCCACAGCGTTCACCGGCCTGTCTCCTTACACCGCGGCCGCCGCCCAACAAGCGGCGTCATTACAAGAAGCGCGGCTTCAGTAGCAGTGCCAACTCAAAGCCCGCGCTCTCCGTCCTAGATTACGAATTTTTCAAAATCAGGGACCTCGGTAGTGCCGCAAAAGAAAACCGAAAATGATATTCATAATCATTTTTTAAGCGAAAAATTGAAAAAAAAAAAAAATCACATACAATTATTGAAATGTTTAAATTGAAAATACGGTAATATTATACATAGCTATATATAATATTGATTATATTTTAATCGCGTAAACATTGTTATTAATGTAATTATAATATTATTACGAATTTGACCTCGGAATACCAAAAAGTTAAAGTAAACAATTCTATATGTATGTCTATATTTTTAGATTGTAGATTATCGTAACACTTTAGTGAATTAGTTATCGTGTAGAGTATTTCAATTAAACCTAGGTAATACTATTGAGAACTTTTTAAAGTGGTCTTGGCCCGGTTCAGGCGTATAGATTTTGGAAAACTACCCACAAAGAGACGTCTGGAGGCTCTTACGGGTGTCCGGCGTCTCTAGTGCAACTACGGTTCCAATTTATTGAAGGGTAACCATTATATAATATTAACATAAAAACAATGCTCTATATTTATTATATATATTATATTTATGTATTTTAAGTATTATAATATTAATATAATGATTTTAAAACCCTTGCCTCTTAACAATTTTCAAGAGTCGCCGTCCTCGTAATATAATAATTAATAATATACAGTTTTCGGGCCTTTTACTCGCGTATAAAACCAAATGATTCATGCATATATCTATATTATAAATTATAACATATTTTATACAGTGACCAAAACTGGTTAACGTAATTAACTTACCCTGATTAAGGGTATACATGCCTATAAATTAGTTACGACCGTGAAATTGCATCTCAAACGCGCATATTATTATTATTATTATTTTTTTTTGTTTAGTTCAATTTATTCTATTATATCATACATATATATTTTATATATTATAAACATCTTATTTTCGATTTTTTATTTTATTTGTGCAAACAAATTATTGTTTTATTTAATATTTTAGATTTTAATTTACAATTATTTTAATTAAGTTTATATATTTATTTTGCAATATCGTTTCGTGCGCTAAAGCTTAGGCAATTCATTTCCGGCAATTACATATAAATTCTATTGAAGTTAGATTTAATCATATTTTTATCCGTTCCGTAAAATATGAATACATGATTGTGTGCCAAACAAACATAATGGGCAGTTTTTAATGTGATATTTTTATTTATTTTCTATAACCATCCCAAAGCGAAGTGCAAATACTAAATAATTATACTTTGAAATAAACGTACCAGCGTAAAACCGATAGCCTATATTAATTGACCAGAAAAAAGGTATCAATAAATATAATCAAGATATTATTGCAGTTTCAATATATTTTTATTCTCAAGTCTCAACATTAAACCAAAAGAATATTAACAGCCCGATATTTAGTAAGCAGCTGATATACAAAACATAATAACGGCTACATAAATCATAATAAAATTAATCTATATTAATATTACTATTTATTTTTATCCGCAATTATTAAATTACCATAAAATAAAATGTATTTGAATAATTGTAATTGTAAGGTAAAAGTAAAATATTTATATATTATATTACTAAAATGCCTAGTCTATAACGTCATTTTATTTACATTTTTTTTTTAAATTTTTAAGTTAGTATAAAATTATTATTACAAAGAATTTATATTATAATATTATTTTTTTTATTACACATCTAGTCATATGTACAATAAGATAATTATTCAATTTTATTTTTAAGGGTAAAATAATCTGTACATGTATTTATAGTTAACTAAATTTTTATTATTATTATTATTATTAATTAATAATTATTATTATTACTATTATTACATACCCGTGCATAATTATAAGTACATACATATTATATTTATAATAATATTATTAAATAGGATTATATACACGTGTATAATATAATATTTGTTAAGGTGATATTGACGTCAAAACCAATATTAATTGAGCACAAGGTAATGTTATCAATTTGCTTACAATTGCAAATTGATTACAACATTTTTTATTCTTCTCCGTTTGTAATAGTAGATATAGCCAGATGACGAAGGCGGCCATTTTCCGTAATTGCAAATCGTACCAATTCCGCTTATAGATTCGAAAACCCTTTTACACTAAACAAGATAATTTAAACAATTTTAATAATTTTTAAAAGAAATCTGAATTTGTTTTCGTCTTGTTCCAATTTTTGCATTTACAGTTAACAGAAGTCAGAACCATAATATAGCCATCTCTCGATGTTTTTTTTTTTACAATACTTATTAAATTGTTAAATAAAATATTATCAAGCTTGTAGTTCTTTTTTGTTGATATTTTTTCAGTTGTCGTGTGCTTACACTCGTATATTTAAAATAATACTCATTAATTTTATAAAAATTGAAAGACTGAAGTTTGTTTGTTTTTTTTATTAACATTTAGAACCAGTTTTTAATTACGAGTAGATAGCAACTTTAGCCTTTAGAACCATCGTTGTTGACCGGATTAAAATTATTGTTCCATTCTTACTAGTAGTTTTATAGTATTTTTCTAAAAGTGGGGTATAATAAACGAATTTGTCTGTGTTTTTAAATAATAGACAAACCATTTGAACAATTTTGACCGGTATAATAACTTAGGATTCCTTCTATAGTTGCGTTGTCCGTGAATCATTACAATTACTTATTGTATCTATAATTATAGTCTTTACACGGTATTGAATATATTGCGAGAGATGCTAATATATGGATGTTAATACTAATGAAATATCAAAAGGGTTCGTTAATTTTCCCCGTCCCGACATACCCGAAAAAATAAAATAATTACCATTAAATAAAATGTTTAAAGAAAAACTCAGTAATTTCATTTTAATTTATAATATTGAAAAATTGCTACGTGTACAAAAAAAAAAAAGTAAAAATTATACAATAAAATATTACGTATAAAAATATGTTCAATCTGGTGTGCCTTGTTGTATAAACCAAATTTTAAGTCAAGTATAAAGTAAATTAATAAGATAAATGTATATGCATTTATATATGTATATAATATATATATATATATATAAAATATATTTTGATATATAAATGTAAAATAAAATAAAAAAAGTTATATAGTATGATGTTCATTTATATTTAACTCGATTGTTATTCATTTTGTTACCTTAATAATAATTATTATTATTATTACTAACGCGGTATAATATGATGTTTTGTTTTTCGAATGCATTATAATATAATATAAATATGATAACGCATGAACCGATCCATAACGTGCTGGATGTGAAAAATATAAAACTTGATTTATGTGTACTTAAAACAATTTTTGACGGAACATATCGATGCTAAATTAATACCTAATTTTTTTTTTACTACCCATATATTTTTTTTTTTTTTGTAACTTTTATAATAACATTTCAATTAAACCGTAATTTTACTTCGCTCGATTATTAATAATAATAAATCGAATACATATTTTTAAAGTAAATTTAAGTAAGAAATATGTATATTATAATTATTGATAATGTATACCCTCCATATATTTTAAGTACCCAATAGTCGTCTACATTGGCGAAAAATGTTGCCAACGGTGAAGCTAGTCATATTATGGGAAATATTCTGGTGCACCATGTATAATATTTTTATGTAATAAAACGTTTAAACGTTATAAATAAAATATACTATACATATTATATATTATAAATATATGAAATTATTTAAAAATTATTAGTAATGTAAGTTTTCGGCGGGGGTCGGGTTGGGCAATTGTAAACACTATTTTATTTATTTTTTTACGCATACTAATAATGGGTAATTTTCATAATTGAAAGCGTTTGACCCCGTATTGATTTGTTAGAAAACGCGATGAAAAATAAAAATTAGTATATTATTTTTATGAGTAAAAAAATTGTATTAACGTTTGCTACGCGTGTTTACATTATGTCACCCTGCCCGACTCTACATTTGGTGATCAGTTATATCACATTAGTATGTAAAATTATTATTAAGATAAAACAATTCAATGAAATTTAGTCAATATTAACGGTTAATTTTAAGGCATATAGTTGTATTATAAAAAATTAATAATTAAATACATGTTTAAAAATCAATGATGTTTTTATTTATATTACATTTGAATGAATTTACTACCGTTGGATATACTTAAGCATTCATAAGAAAAGCGGTCACGATGTCTTAGTAGTAGGCACATATTTAAATATTACATATTACCTCACTAAGAAATGTTCATCAATATTTATAAAAATCTTTAGAGAACGCATCCGTATAATTGGTAGTGTGAAAACAGGATTTGCACAAATAAATACTATAAGGCTGTGACAGTACTAAATTCTTTAAATGTTAATAGAAAAATAAAGAAGCTTGGCAGTTTTTGTAGACGGATGAGTTATTTTTCTATTAATTTCTAAAGTTTAGGTTTTTTAGATATGTTATGAAATATTAGTGGATTACGTTATTGAAATACGCTTAACCACATAGCAAGATGAAAATATCCACCAACTTTTTCGAACAGTCTACTAGTACCTATATCTAAATCACTCTTCCTACGCTTGTCTGTCTTGTCCGTTTTAACAATTCAATGTCTGAATAATCTGAACTTTTTAAGTAACGGTTAATCGATTACTATTGATGGTAATATTTACAATTCGACAAACGCCCATGCCTATAGGTACAGATCTGCGTTTTAATCTCCATCATTTATCAAGATCTATAAAATAAAATAAATTAGATACAGGAGATAAGATTATAGTTTCCCGTTAAAACAGAATCAATTCGTAATATTATAAATATAAGATAACAAGTCTAAAACATTTTATGAATCGCTGAGATCAATAAATTGTTAGTGGCTATTCGAATGCAACATGTGTTTTCGATGCGTTCCAGTAGTTGTTTTTATACATTCGGCGTAATAGGATTCAATCGATACCACCGTCATCAGTGTTCCGAATAACTGTGAGTACTATAATTTTTAATTTATTCTTTACAGTCAATCGTTTTATTTTTGTTCATTTGCTGGTACTTATTTTTACATTAATCTCCATTAATGGAGATAGATATTCTTACAGCGCTTGCATTTGCGATTTCTATTTTACTTTTTAGCCATTTACATATAATTAAATAAAGCACACATTTTATTTGTAAACACGTTTTTTATAACATAAATTAAGCTTTGTAAGCGTCCCCTCACAAAGGTAGAGTGGGGGAATGGGGTCCCAAATGTGGAGCAAGAAGTAATTTATTTAGATAACACTATTCTTACCATACAACCAAAATGAAAAATCAAAACTTTCTAGTTAGTTTAAAAGAAATAATTTTCATAAAATACCGTTATACGCTCATCAAGATTCAGATTTAATTAAACAATAACAATTTTATAATTTCTAGCAAATACAAAACTTCTTATTAACTATTATTATGAGTTATAACTGAAAGTGATAATCCCCTATAAATTAATAAACGTTTCGTTGCGAAGCGTAGATGGTGAAAGCTACTAAGTATATATAATTGTATAGATTATAAATGTGTTTATATTATTATTATTTAATTTTATTGGGGTTTACTCGATAAAATTTCTATTTCTATTTAAGTACAATTTTCTATTAACTTTGTGCAAGATTGTGCAAAACACCATAGGAATTTGTGAATTTAAGAATTGGTATATTACTTATTAGGCATAGTAATGACAATAAATATTTAGTACCAACCTACTATAATAAAATGCATAGAGCGAACAACTCTAATGTATGGTTCATGTTCAAGCAGAATTTAAAATTCATTACATTATCCAACTCGTTAGTTACATTTTTACCAAATATAACATATTTATAAATATTTTCAATGTACAATTATAGATTTTTTTTCATTTATTCTTATCCCCAGCTATTAATTTTTTGAACTATGAAGTATCGAATTAAAAATGAATATACGAATAATTGTAGTTTTGGAATTAATGAGTTATTTTCAAGTATTAACAAATCTTTATTTATCAACTTATAATAGCATCAAAATAACAGGGATACAAGTACGACGTATTTCAGTATAGTGACTCTCTAGTACAGAATCTAGTTTCAACGTTACTATTTGAACTTTTAACTACAGGTTAGTAACACACAAATCAGTACTAAATACAAATTAAAAATGTAATAATTTTAACAATTCATTTATTTAATTTTATTAGCAAAATAACAACATTTTAGATTATTTAGATGAACCATCTTTTAAAACTATAGTTCTGTTGAAGACTAAATTTGTATCGTTCGAATCAAAGTCAACACAATAATAACCTAATCTTTCAAACTGATAAATTTTAAGCATCGAAGATTTTAGCAAATGTTTATCACCAAAAGCTTTGACTATTTTTAATGAATCTGGATTGATGTCACTTAAGTAACCATTAGGCACTTGATTTGCGTCTTCAGGGTTCTTGTGTAAAAATAAGCGTCCATACAACTTAACAGTTACTTCAATTGGATTTGACACCCAATGAATAAATGCTTTGGGTTTAGCTGAGTTTTCAATAATTGAAGCTTCAACTTGAATTTCTTCAATCAACGAACCACTCTTTTTAACTTCTATTACTTTAACTACAAGACCAGCATACCTCAAACCAACTGTTTGATTAGGTGTTAAGCGGCGATAATCTTTATCTGCATTTTCACTGAAATCGGTGGATTCTATGTACAGCACTGACGTCAACTCCACAGTGTGTGATCCTTTGTCTGGATCGTTTGGAAAATCAGGAACACTAATCAAATTTGGTTTCTTCAATTCATCAAAGTTTCTAATGGTAATCTTTAAAGGTTCTTGAACAACCATAGTTCTTGGTGCAGTTAAATTTAAATAATCTTGAACTTCAGAATCGAGCATTTGTGGATCGACAATGGTTTGCGCTCCTGTGATACCCATGCGTGCACAAAACGAATTTATCGACTGAGGTGGAAAACCTCTACGGCGCAATGCGCTCAAAGTGAATAATCTCGGGTCGTCCCAATCATTGACTATTTTCTCATCGATTAATTTACTAATTTTTCTCTTGGAAACCACAGTGTAGTTCATATTAAGTCTGCCATATTCCCACTGTACGGGACAATAAAGATCAAGTGAATTACACAACCAATAGTAAGTAGACCTACGACTTTGAAACTCTTTAGTACAAAGAGAATGCGTTATGTTTTCAATAGAATCACAGAGACAGTGAGTATAATCGTATGTGGGGTAGATGCACCATTTGTCTTTAGTTCTGTGATGCGGTAAAAACTTAATACGGTATGCTACAGGATCTTGTTTACCTTCTTCAAGTGTGACTTTCATTCTTAGAGTAGCTTCCCCTTCATCAAAAACTCCATTTTTCATATCGTTAAGTAACACTAAATTTTCTTTGACTGAACGATTTCGCCACGGGGATGGCGGTGGGTTAAAACCTTGCATGTCTTGTTGTTTTTGGTGACAAACATAAGCCAACCCTTTTTTAGTCAGATCAATGGCCCATTGGTATAATTGATTAAAATAATCTGATGAATGTGTGATTTTATATGGACGATAACCTAACCATTCCACCATGTCTTTGATACCGGTGAAAAATTTCTCTTCTTCTTTTTCTGGATTCGTGTCATCGTACCTAAAAATGCACGACTATTTAAAATTTTAAATTATATCATAAAAATTTTTTATTAAACAAATAATACACTCACCTAAGAATGCATTCTCCATTGGAAGCTTTAGCGAGTCCAAAATTGATATTTATAGCTTTAGCGTGTCCAATATGCAAAATACCATTAGGTTCTGGAGGAAATCTAGTGATTACTTTTCCTTTTGTTTCCTTAAGATGTTTAGCTAAAAGTTTTTCTGTATTCTTTGTTACGACGTAGCCTTCCGTTTTGAAATTCTCTCCGGGTTTATGGAAGTCTACTTTACCTACTACCTCTTCAATTGACATAGGTTCATAAACCAATTTTTTTTCTACAAGTTTTACATCTTTCACTTTTTTTTGTTTTTGAACGGGTGCTAAATCAGCTTCAGTCTTTGCACCCAACAATTCTAAGACTTGAATATCAACTTCATTTTTAACTGCTTTTCCGTCAGCCCAAGGCAATAGCTTCCTAACTTCTTGCATAAGACCGCCAATATTAAACTTATATCTTTTCTCAATAAGTTCATTTTTGCTTTTAGAAATTACAGATCCGACTACTTGCTCTATTTGTTCAGGTGTAACAATAACACCAACACCGCAGGCTTTTTCAAAATCTGATATATCAGTATCTTTATCAGATATTGATGAGCGCAAATACTCTAAACTGCAATCGATTCTTTGAGTAGTGTCGAATTTGTTTGTAGATATATAACTGATGATTAAAGGTATATGCTTAGAATCTTGATTTTTTAGTTTTGAAGCCAAATGATACAACAAAATTCCATAATCTGACAATGATTTTTTTGTCTTGGAGAACTCATCGATCACAAACTTTAAGTTAGTAGTTAGGTTTTTGTTTTTCAATGTCTCTTTTGCTTTAGCCTCCGACAGACCAATAGATACAAATAACTGGACATCAGACATTTTCTAAACCAAGAAAATGTTCAAATTATTAATCATAAAGTTTTCTAGTAAATAAATACATTGTTTTTAATAACCAGACAACCTAATGATAACACAAACTCAGGCGTTCAATTATTTATGAAGTAGTCTGGAATCTAAACACATCAAATTAATTTAATACTATAATTACCTAAAATTATTTTAAGATTTTGTATATCTTTAGTTCTGATCAATGCACTATTAACTACTCCTATTGGAGTTTGTAAGTCTTCGACAGCAATATGATCGTAGTCTCCAGTTGTACTTATAAAGGTTGCATTTACTGTTGAACTATCGTGTAGAACAATTGAACAAGGTTTACCTGCAAAAACAAATGTTTATTGTGTTAATTATTTAAAATAAAGTAACAAAATAGAACCACAGTAGCCAACTGCCAATAGTTCTAATAAGATAAAAGTAGAATAAAAAGTACAATTTCAATTATTATTAATTATACTTGTTTTATTAAACCGAGTTATTTATATTATAAATTGTGTTTATTATATTAGTAAGTTATATAAAGTGTGCTAATTATATGAAGTCAACATAGATTTAATTTAAGGTGTATTGTGATTATATTTTATTGCAGTTTTTTTAGGTGATATACAACAAGTATTTTTTTTTACTGATAATTAAAAAAAAAAATTTTAAAAGTATATCTGTAATACTGGTTGTCATGCTGGGCTATACAAAGCCTATTATAAAATCGAGTACGAATATAATTGTAAATTTAAACAATTGTCTTTAGTTTTAAAATTTAGAACTAATATATCGTTATCCTAAATAAAAAATATTATTATCCGTGGAGAGTATTACGAGTTAAATACGAGAAAAATACGAGTTGGCATGTTTCAAAGCAGTTTTACTCTGGACGTTCATAAAACCTTCAGAATGTTTACCGTTCAAAGATCAATTATTATTATTATTTATTATATTTTTCAAATAATTTTTAACAAATTCTGTTGACTGTTATTGTAATATTATTTAGGTATTACGTACTAAGTTGTATTTATTAACTAACCTTCGAATTTTGAGACAACGTCGAGGAATCGCCCTCTCAAAAAACTGGCATTTATTTGTTCTTGGCTGTCCATAAATACGACAAGTACATCATACACGATAGTAAAGTTATATTTATGATACACTTGCAAAATCGAAAACTTAAAAAGTACCTACTGTTGACGTGCGCACAAGCAAAACACGATATTCACAGATGGCAATTGGCAGTGGTCGAGTCGGCAGTCGGCACGTTTTGTCTCGCAATCGGCTGCGTGGGATAAAGTCTGAAGCTAGCAACGAAACGTACCGTAAACGGTCGATTATAATAATAATTTTTAAACACATGAACAATTCACTAATTAATAAATTCCACAGAGTTTATAATAATTATTATTGCATATAACTATAAGTATGTAACTGTATAACTATGACTAAAAGTCGCTCATAGATTTTAATATATGTATATTTGTTCTATTCCCTGTAAAAAATGTTAATATCTAGTATAAAGCGTATAAACACCGCACCAAACCCGTCTCTAACTTTGATTCGCTCGCCCATATCAACAACAACATGTATAATATATGTATATAATATTTTTGTGATTCCATCAGACTACTCAAGCCTATTATTCATGTAACAAACGCTTACATTTTGTTTACCAATTAACTTAACCGTAACTTCTTATTTATTGTTGTAGTAGTGTTATTTATATTTTAACCCGTCTAATTTTGTTTAATAATCAGTTACCATTAAATAAAACATTACAAAAGTAAACGTCGGTAAGTGAATTTTGTTACTTGTCTTCTACTTGGATAACCTTGTAATCAGTTGCTTATAAATATCAATATAATATTCTGTATTTTAATATAAAGGTTTGTGTGGATCGAATTGATACTCAAATAATAATAATAATCAAGTTAATAATCAGTAAATGATCAAAGCATATTTACTAATTGGTAGCTAAATACTTTGAAAAATAAAATTGAAAACTAATCGTTTGTGTTACTATAAAGTAGGTTTATAAACTATAAATTGTATTTACTTCTATTAATCTCGTTGAGTTCTCATGATATAATGCTAAAACTGCTTCAGATATTAAAAAAAAAATTGTTATTAATTATTATTAGTACCATAAACATTCTATTTTCATTTACATAAGACTGTACTACCTTTATTATATATGTATTTTCGCTGTATGGAACAATGAGCTACCTATTTTAAATATTATACACAGATTTGTACAAGTACGCCGATTGTGAATTCTCTAAGTCATAAGTATCACTGTTATACCTGTACATTAATATAGGCTGTATATTATATTATAAATACATAATATACTTATAATTTTTTAATATTTTTATTGAAATTTTTTTTAATATTTTAGTTATTGTTATATAATATGTATTTATTAATACAAATAAAGAAAAAAACATTATATTTTAAAAACAAACAATTAGTATATTTTTATTATTATTTTTTTTACGGATAGGTAACAGTTTTGTAAATATTTAGTTGGGCTTAACCAAATATATGCCTATGTATGTTAATATATTATCCCTTTTGTATGATATTATTACTTAAACAATTTTTTTAAATTTTCTTTTTTTCTAGTTAACCAGCTTTGTTTAGAATACAATATAAAATGGGCGATGTGACTGCAGCAAGTGCTCCTACTGATGATTTAAATAATTCTGGTTCATCATGCTCATCTTCGTCATCAGATTCCGATGGAGAATCTAGTAGTTCTGGTTCGAGTTCTAGTTCATCTTCTTGTTCTGAAACAGCCAATAAACAATGTGATGCTGAATGTACCGAATGTGATTCAAACATTTCACCTTCAAACGGCCAAACAGATTGGATCGTTTGTCAGCTTTGTCTACATAAAGTAAAAACTCCGTTACAACTTAAACAGCATATGCGAATGCACACTGCGCATAAGATACATCGTTGTGCAATTTGTAATAAATCGTTTGAACAGGCAACTCGTCTGGAAAAACATATAGCTATACATTGTGGCACAGACTCTCGATATGAATGTGCTCTTTGTGGAAAAGTTTACAAGCTTCGCACCCAAATTGTTAGCCATATAGCAGCACACAAAAAACAAAATGCCGGCCGGCGTATTTCATATACATGTACCATATGCACAAAAAAGTTTTCAAACAAGTCAAAGCTTCGAGAACACGAGTCTGGACACGAAAACGGCACTTTGCATTCATGCGATGTATGTGGACGGACATTCAAGTTAAACTCATACCTCGTTGTGCACAAAAGAACACACGAAATGAACGTATCTTACACCGGCGACAAGCCTTTTACATGTACACTGTGCAGCAAGTCTTTTTTGAGTAAAAGCAATTTGGATTTACACATGTTAGTGCATAATTATGTTAAAAAAGCGTCATATAGTTGTGAAATTTGTGGTAAAATATTCATGCGAAAGTACAACTACGATGCTCATGTAAATATACACCAATAGTTTGTAAGTTTTATGTTTAAGCGATGATTTTAGAAACACAAGTTTTCAAAAGCATTTAGGTAGTAAATTAAAACTATGTGTTATTTTTGGTGGGTTTTATTTTTTATTGTAAGAAATGAAGGTTGACGTTTTTAAATTTACACGCTTATTTTTGTAGTACAGCTGACATTGTAGCACTGTAGAGGTTTTAATTTCAAAACTCACTAAAATTATTTGACTCGGAATCTATCCATTGTAAGTAATTGGGTATTCTTCGATTTTTTTATTTAAAGTACTATTTACATTTGTTTTATGTTACATTACTCTATTTTTACTACCTTAATCATTATATATATATTTATAATTTATTTTTACTTTTCATTGTGGGCCTTACTGATAATTTACTTCTATTCTTTATAAAACTATTATGAATACTTCTTATTCCTGTTTAAAATATATTTTAGTGACAAAAACATATAAACATAATGTAACGTACAAAACTTATAGCATAATTATGATGTGTTATATTGTTTATTTATTTGATTTTGTATTATATAACATTGTATTTATTAAATGTTTAACTATAAGATTATTGCTATGTTAATGATTATAAACGTTTATTCAGTAATTTAAAATAGAATGTAAAAAAAAAATTAGTTTATAAAAGTCATATCCAAATAACTGCAATAATTAAAAAATTGAATTGCTTGAAAATTAAATTTATACTATGGCATAAAAATAATTAAAATCACAAAATATTATTATCTACATAGTGGAGCAAATTTTTCTTAAATTAATTATACTTATTGTTGATATACCTTGACATGAAATAATGTATTTATGAAAACAATAACTTTAAATAGTAATCACTAGAGCTCTTGATATACATATTCTTTGGTATTTTAGATTTACGAAGAATAGGTACAAGAATTTGTAAACCAATCAAGTACCTTTTTTTTAAAAAAAAAATACCTGTATATAATGAATTCAAATTGCCAGGTAAATTATGTTACAGCTATTACACACAGTAAAAAATCTAGAGCTCTAGTATTCACTCTTTTCAAATAATTTACTCGTACACTCCTTTTTATAGGATAATATTGATAACTAAAGCACAGTATCTTTTTAATTGTTCCACAAACTCTTTACAAATAGTTTTAATAATATATACTTGGCATGATTTTACAATTTAATTTTGACACTCAAAATATGTAGCCATTCCAAGACGGTTTCGTCTAATTATTATAATTAGTATTTTTGGTAGTTAAATATTACTATTTAGCTTAAAAATAAATGTACTTACATAAAATCAGCTTGCCTCGTGTACCTAAAATACACTATGTTGTTAACAGTTAGAATGTTAATTTTTAAGTCAATTTATGTTTGTACTACAATTTTGATTAGTGTGTTTTTGTTGCATTCGAGTGTCCCTTCAAATGAAAATTTGTATGCTAAAATATTTAAGTTGTAACTTATAAAATTGTCCAATTATTATATTTTAACTCATTTATATTTGCTGGCAGTTTTTTCAAAAGTAATTACCAACTGATTTTAATTTCGTAATTGTTTTAGCTTTCTTAACAACGTTAATCTGCCAAACAGCAAACTTAAGTTTTTTACTATTAAGTTATAATATTTGATACTCAAATTAAATGTTTAAAAATGTATTTGTTTTAAAAAAGTGTATGTGTATTTAAGTACTATAATCATAGTTGTATTCTTATTTATGATTGTTTTAAGACTTAAAATTTAGCTAATTGAGTGCAATGGAAAACTGGTATAAACATGATTTCATAAAAGTGAAAATATATTTGTGAATTGTGTGTTGGGTTATTGTAATCTCACTGATTATACATTTTATTAAAAAAAACTATCTATGTTTACAATTGAGCCAAAATCAAAATAACCAACATATTACATTTATTTCAGTTTACATACTCTTCTTATATGGACTATAAATCTATGTAATTAAGTATTGTGTTGGTTATTATGATTATAATGACTAATGACTTTTTTTTGTCAATACTAGCTTTTTTTTTTACAAGTAATGAGCATAATATCTTATTATAATAACGGTTCCTTAAACATTTATAGCTTTTTGTGCAAATTTTAACTTTTTAATGATTCCATTCACTTTTCTTATTATATTTGTATAAATTATTGTTATTTTATCACATTTTTCTGATTTGGTGTAAAGTAGCGCTACACATATTCAACAGTTAGTGTTAAAATTTTGTTTCATTTACTCTTGTCATTATGTATGTTTGTTAATATTTTTTCAATGTGTATATATATATTATATAGAATCTTTTATTATGCTTAATTTTATCATCACTATGTAATTATATTATAGATTTTTCAACAATATTTGTGTTTATTTTTACTTAATTATCGGTTTTAAATAGCTGTTCATAATCTAATAAATTATTTACAACAGTAGTGACTATTTAAATACTATTAGTTGTAAAGGCTAATACTTGAGATGCGGAAAGCAAAAATAGACTTTTTGTCGACAAAGTTTATTTTGAGAAAAACATAAATATTGATAATAATTGTATCCTGGAGCCTCTATGAATAGGATATACCTACATCAAAACATCACATTGAATAATATCCTAAATTAGTATTAATTTATTTTGGGAAAAGGGATATCTTGTCCGATTATAAAGCTACAAAGTGCAATAACTCAGTCATTTTATTTAGATACAATGATGGTACCAGTTCACAAAATAAAATTTCAAAATTTAGAAACTAGCGCTAAATTAATTTTGAAAAATACAGTTTTGGATAGATATGAAATAATAATAAAAATAAAAAATATATTTATTCCAATAAATAATAATCTTTACAAGGTAAAACCGGTATAATTGTCATTGATTTTGATTTTAGTTTCTTGGTGTAGTTTGGGAAGTTTTGTTTTCAGCGGGAACTTATACACCCTTCAATATTGGTAATCCGGCGCATTATGTAGGCAATTAAAGTGATCGTGGGGAAAATATGTATGTCAAATTCTGGACGTTCCATGGAAGGATCCGCGTTTTATCAATTTGGTTAACCATTCAATGGCCATTAAGCATGTAATATAATTATAATTAATTGGACCAGTTATAATACAGCATTATAGTTACGTGTGAGAGTAAAATTTAATATTTTGCACATTATTGGTAAAAAGTTACCTAAAGTGCAAAGAATAAAATTAATATTTCAAAATCTTCGTAACGTTCGTTAACATTCGCCTCTCCATTTTAGGTACTATATAGCCTATAGGTATTCGGTAGACGGCAATTCGGCATATAGTATGAAGTGTGAACGCGGCCCATAAACAATATTAACGCACGCTATCTATTGACGAAAAAATGTAAATAATAAGTGAGGGTGGCGCTAAAATTAATTTATAGACCCACATTGGCCTTGGGCGGCGTCCGCCGCGGGTGCCGAATAACATATTTAATATTTATTATTTTGCAATATATATGTCTGTCTCTATATCCGTGAACAGGGCTCTTAAGTTATGATAAAATAACATGTAAAATGTAGCATTGTTTTCCATAAACCTATATAGATTCTTAATTCTTCATATTAGGTCTACGATCAAGGTCGATTTAATTCTATTTGTCTAAAACATTTTTCCGTTAGGTACTCCGTACTGCTTCAATTTATTTTGCTAATGAAGAAAAAAATGGCTGCCGAATTGTATAAGTCTGTGTACATGGGTCGTATGTTTTTTTATTTATTAAATACGACTTAACTACGAGAGAATATTGGCATCATTGTTTACAGATTATTATTGACATTTGACAGTAGCAAGATTACAACAGAGTAAACTTAATTTGTTTAAAATTGTATTTAATGTATGTTGATTGGAGTAATTAAAAGAGCTTGTAAAAATCCAGATAGCCAATTTTTTCAAAAAAGAAATTTAATGGAGAAAAATTATCTGTATTATGATGTAACAACCAAATAAATTTAACTATTGAAAAAAACTACTATGATACTATGCAAAGATAGTATCGCAAAATGATATTCCCCCTACAATTTTAGTAAATGGGGTAAAGTATTTTTTTTACCACCCTGAAAAATTACAAAATTGTGAGTTGCCAATCAGGGTTTTGCACTAATCCCTTTTTTACATGTGTTATATTTAATTTATTAAAAATAAATTTGTTAGACAACTATGGTGGTATGCAATTATTTTATTATTTATTATTACTTATTTTAAGTATATACATTTGTTAAAGAACTCAAATTTACCTGTTAGCAATGAGTATACTCAATGCTATTATTTAACAGTTAACACGATAAAAACGATAAGAATATGCAAATAAAAATCATACATCTTGTATGATACCTATGTTAATTACATAATATTACATATTACCATACAAATAGAAAATACTTAATTACCATAAGCATTCATTTTAAAATCAATAACACGAGTCATAAAAATATATTTTGTTTTTATGAACTGCATAGTGCATAGATAGGTACTTTGTACTTAAAATACTAATCAAGTTTATCTATGAGCTATCAACAAACCGTACGTGCTATCATCGTGGTGGCAACACTGTAATATTCCGGTTGAAAAAGTGGTAACTGGGATATCAAAATGGTGGCGACAGTTCGTGATAGGTAGGTATTTTGTTTTGGTTTTTATTTATGTTTTGATTTGTGCTCTTAACAAATAGTATTAATTGCAACTTACAATTTGTAATAGTATTTTCAATGAAGTTTAGTTATGTGAACTTATTAATGTAGATAAAATCATTACACCGAGTTGTACTACAAAATGGCCACATCGCCCGTAGCCCAAGTACAAGACGTGTGTGCGTCGGACCCAAATTTTGCAGTTATATTTGCATTCTGTGAACGTTTTGGTAATCTTTGTGGTGTAGATATTCCCACTTTCCAGGAATTACAAGAAATGTTGGAAAAAACCAATGAAGGTAAATTCACAATCAATTTATCACTGTGTTTACAAGACATGTCTTTCAAAATTTCTATTTGAAATAATATAGAAATGCTTATAATATGCATTACAATATTATTTATAAATTCATTAACACCACTTTAAATATACTGACTTAAGAGTTGGTTTAAAATTTAAAAAATTACTAAAACATACATTTTTTTTATTAAGTTTCAACACCTGGGATGATAAACTATCTGACTGGGCAATTATACAATAAGGCTCACTAATATATATTGAAACATGCATCGTAGGTTAAATTACCTAAACATGGTAACCTCATAAGTTTAAGAGATAGTCTGTCAATGGTCAACACGTATTCCATAATTTTTGCTATTATTTTTACTTGTTTCCCGTTAAGGGGTGGTAATCTTAAAGACAGAAATAAAGCCAGCTACAAATTTTTCCATTAATGTTGCTTAAGTCTAGGCTTTAGGATTATAGTTATTACTAAACATAAAATTAATTTTTAAAATTTGTTCTAGTTCCAAGTGCTTTGGTTGATTTACATGTAAAGCTATTACGCAAAGTAAAAAAAAGTGTACACGCAGACAAGTGGGAAAAGGCAATTATAAAATTTTGTCAGACATACTCGATTCCTGAAAGTTGGGAAGTGGAATGTTATGGTTATAAAGGGATTTCTACGCAACTCAAATTAAAGATTTTAAAAGTAAATATGTGCTTAAATTATAGTTTTTTGTATGTACGAGTTGTACATATAAATATACAAGTGTTTTTGTAAGAATAATAATTTTTTAATGGTTTGTTATCTATTAAATATGTCATTTCTATTGAGCTTGTAAAATATTGTTTATTTTATTATACTTGTAGAATTTGTTTGAAGCTCAATTCGATAGTAATGTCAAGTTTAAAGCTGAAATTAATAAACTTGAAAGTTCAGCCCTACGTTCTCAACCTCTAGGCTGGGATAAACAGGGCATTGCATATTGGGCTCAATTTGATCGTTCATGTAATCTTCGAGTTTATAAAGAGGACATTGAAGAAGATACTTGGAATATAGTGGCTAGGTAAAATTATTTATTTTTATTCTAAAGCATCTAAACTAATGTGCTTGTATAATTTTTAGAGACAGAGGTACATTAGTAAATTTTATAAATGAACTTTCTGGAACAAATGATAAATTACTTGATGAAGAAGTTGAGGACAGCAATAGCATCGAGAGTACTTCAGAAATTGAAGCAGAATTATCTCCGGGTCTAGATCAAGAAAAGGACGATTCTTCATCTACAAAATCAGATAAAAATGGAGATATTGATTTTAATGTAAATAATTTGGAAAATAAAACAAACGAGTTAAATGTACCTACCACCAACTTCAAAAGAAAATTCAATGAGGAATCTGAGAAAATTTTTATAGCTGGTGAAAACTTAAGTGATCCAATAGTTGGAGAAGTGATTGAAGAATCAGTTATGATGATAAAAGGAGAAGGTACAGGCCAGGAATGTGACACTGGAAATCCTGGTGAAAATGAACCACATGAAGAAAATACTAAAGCCGATGAAGTTAAGAAACCAAAACTATGGAGTATCGAAACTATTTGTAGTTCGTCGAAAGAAGTTCAAGAAGAAATTATACCAGTTCCCAAAACGGGATTTTTTTTTGGTGACGACTCTGTGCCGTGTCTTCCAAATATTGAAAATGAAGACAAGGCAAGAGATAAAACTGAAAATATAACTGTAAAAGAAACGGTAAATTTAAATGAAAAAAATGAATCACATGACACCAAATTTGATAATCTTGAAATATCTAATAAATTATTAGATACTGATTCTAAAGTAGTTTTAGACAAAGTTGAAGATTTGTCAAGTAAAATGATTCCAAAACAGTCTGTATTCAATATAACGATTCACGAAAAAGAAATTCAAATTACAGAGCAAAATTCAAACGAAGCATTAAGGAATGCAGAAAAATCTAACAACAGTAGAAATTATGAAAATTCCGAAACTAATTTACTTCAAAAGTTATCAAACGACTCTGAGCACATCAAAGAGTCAACAGAAAAGGAATCTAAAATTGAATGCAATCGACCGACTGAAGTTAATATTATAATTGATAATCAGTTAATAGATCAAAATTGTTCAAATGCAAACAATACAAATATTGAAAATGTGTATTCTGATCAAAGTAATTTAAAAAATACTACGAAAAATTTAGCGTTTGAAATTAGCAGCCAGTCAACTAGTAGTGATAATAAAACAGTTGCAGATAAAAAAAATCTCAACTTAATTATATTAGATAAAAATTTAATTGATACTGTCGAACAAGATAAAAAAATTGATATCAAAAAATCAAAAAATGTTTGTGGTATTAATGAATGCAGTAATGTAGAATCTATCATTGATGAATCGAAAACTGAAAATAATCAAAATGAAAAAAAAGTTAACAATTTTAATGAATGTGTGAAAGTTGATAATTTAATAGCACCCACAGGTAAAATCAGTTCTTTTGATAAAACTGATATTTCTATTCTTAGTAAATATACTCTTGATACAAATGATCAATTTATCGAAACAAAAAAAGAATTAGAAAATATTTCTGATCAAAGTTATGAATCAGCTGAAAATAAATTGCACGATTATAGTAAAAACTTAAAAGCTGACAATGAAAAAACTGGATCGGCCAAGTATGAAAATATAATTAATTGTAATGCGGTTGAAACTAATAAACCTTTATCATTTCGTCATAGTGAAAATGAAAAATCATCTAGTAACAATAAGTGTAAAAAAGAAGCAAATAGTGAAATTAAAAATGAAATTTCTGAATTAGACTATAATAATAAACATACTATAGATAATTTATTATCCAACCTTGATGATAATGGCCAAAACACTGATAACAATTATTCCTCGAGCTCCAAGTTGGATAAAAACTATGCTGAATGGAACAAGAAAAAATCTGAAAATAATTTAATGGGCCAAAAATTACCAGTAGTGAATTTGTGTGATAAATTAAAATGCAGTACAGATGAACTAGAAGTAGAAAATAAGAACTCGCCAAAAGATCCTGTTTTTGACAATGTCGATAAAAATTCTGAAATAACTTCTTTGGGTAACAATAATAATAATAAAAAAGGTAACCTAAAGAACGAATCTTCATCTATTGCACAACAAAAAATAGATAAGCCATGTAGTACTGTTATGTATGAATCAAATGACAACATTAAGGAAACTAAAGTAATAGACAAAAAAGAAATTGATCACACACTTAACAAAGAAAGAACTAATTTTTCAAAAGACGAGGAAGATTTTTATTTATCAGTCGACTGTAAAAATGAAACTGATGTTGAAGATTCACCTAACACAAAAACTGAAAAAAATGATACCCCTACGATACCTGAAAGATTGCCAACGTTAGAAATGCCAGTAAAAATAGGTAATATTAATTAGTCATTTTTGAATTATTGAAATTTATAATATCTAATTAAAACTTTTGGAATAAAATATTGAATTAAAATGGGGTTAAGTGAGGTAATTGTAAAGTAATGAGACTATAAGTGTAAATACAACTTTTCTTACAAAAATGAAATATGTAATAAATTATATTAGTATAATTTATAAATGGTCAATCCACAGAAATAATATGTAATAATATGTGATAATAATATAATCTTCAGTGCCAGTCAATTATGTCTGAGTTGATGGTCAGCAAAATTTTCCACAAGTTACTCTAGTTTCTATTTTTATATTAGTATCTTATAACTAAAAACATTGAATTAAAATTAAAAATTGTCAATTACTTTATTTAAAAATATTCACATTTGCCCCTATTTGACCCTAGTATGTTATGTATATTTTATTTTAGGCGAGCAATTTGAAGAAAAATCACATAAAACTAAAGAATTTAATAGCATCGAAAAACCTAAAAAAAGGAGAGAGCGAAAAAAATGTAATTGTATTTAATTAAATTATATATTATTAATATTTTTTTAAACATGATTTTAAATGCAGCTGTTGAATTGGAAGAAGATACAGAAAGTGTTTCTTTGGTGTTAACAAATAGTTTAGAAGCAGAAGAGTGTCTTTCTCAAGTTAATACATTTGAAGGTTCTGATAAACCTGAAAAAGATATTGAAAAAAGTAACTTTTTTTTACTTTAACATTTTTATTGTTTTCAAATAACTAACTTTATCTGTAATTCACAGTTGACAACGAGTTTAATGATGATGAACAAGCTGATGACAATGAAGAATATGAACAAAATAGTGAGAAAAATGAAGAATCACCAAAAAAAGTAACTAAACCTGTCGGTAGAAAAAAAAGTAAGTTTTAAATTGTTTAATTACTATTAAAAATTTAAATAGACGATTAATTTAATACAAATTCAATCAACATTATCATATCATACATATTATCAATTTATACTAAGGCAGAATGGTATGTTGTTTTTTTTTTAAAGCGTACAGAAAGTTGTTGATAGTATCAAAATTGTAATGGCATCTATGTTATAAGTTAAGCATTCTCATGCTAAGATAAGCCACATAATTTTCAAAGCATTTAGTAACAGCTGCAATGACAGTTTCTTTTTACTAAGATACATCAAGATAGATTTCTTTTGAATTTGAGTTTCTGTTTGACATTCTCTGAAAATATTATTCATAAAATATTAAATTATTAATTTGTTTTGGGTATTCCTATTTTTTGTACGATTACAGTTTCAGTAAAATATTCAAAAATTATAATTTAAGGAAAACAAGCTGCTATGCGAGTTTGTTGATTGATAATATTAATAATAATATAATGTAATAATAATTATATTAATATAATTGTTTATTGGTAATATAAATTTTGTATGTACATATGTTGTATGTAATTTTTAAAATGTATGAATTTTTATAACTTTTCTTATTTTTATAATATTAGGAAAAAGGGGCAAAGCAAAAAAGATTATTGTGAAAAAAGTAAACAAAGACAATGAAGAAGAAAAAGTTAAAAAGCCACGTAAACCTCGTCAAAAGAAAGGTTGGAATGTTTTACATGTTATTAAAATATGTTATGTATTTTTAATTTGAGTCAATATTTTTGCAGTAATTCCTTTAGTGGAAGAAGTAGAAATCAAACCCGAAGAAAACGAAAGCCAAGATAATATTCGTAGATCTAGACGTATTGCTGAAATAAAAATTAAGGAACAAGTATTACCATCTGATATTTATGATAATGATGACGATTCAAAAAGTTCAACAAAAAAAGAAAAGGGAAGGAAAAAAAATATTCAAACTAAAAAGGTAATATTATTATTTTTTTTAAATAGTTAAATAAAATATGACAATTATTCCAATCAGTTTTTAAAAAAAAAAATTTTTAGGTCGTAAATCTTATACAATCAGATGATGAAGATGACGAAGACGAAAGCACAATTAATAAAAAATCAAAAAAAAGAAGAAAGAAGGGCAAAACACCTAATTTAAAAGGGTTAAATAAAAAAAATCCTTGGAATGTAGATTCAGATTCCAGGTATTTAATTTATTTTACATGTATAAGAATTTGAAAGTATATATAAAAAAAACCTAATATAAATTTGTAGTTCGTCTGATAACAATGCTGAAGAATTTGATGATTATTATCACGAAGAGGAAGATGAAATTCCTAGGCCAGGAATCGAACCAAATGTTTCTGATCATGAATTTTCTCCTGAATCTGATATCAATGAAGACGATGAAGAATATTTACCAGAAAAAAGAGCTCGAACTGCTCATAAAAAAAGTAGAACTTTTTCATTTTGTATTTAATGAAGTGCAATGTTTAATATTTTCATTTAATACAGGCCAAGGTGAACAAATCATTGATGACATGCCTTGTCAAAATTGTAACAAAAGTGATCATCCTGATTGGATTCTACTATGCGATACTTGCAATCAAGGTTGGCATGCTTCCTGTTTGCGTCCAGCTCTAATGGTTATACCCGATGGTGACTGGTACTGCCCCCCTTGTAGACATGTTAGTATGCATTTATTATTATTTTTTAAATTTATATTTACTAAATTATATTTTTGTGTTTAGGAGTCATTATTAAACAGCCTAAAAGCTACTCTAAAAAAGTTTGATAGCGAGGCGAAAAAACGAGAAAATGAAGAATTAAGACGTAAAAGGTTGGCATATGTTGGGATAAGTCTACAAAATGTAATATCTACCAAAATCGAAGACACTAAAAGTAAACAGAGTAAAAACGATGCAACTTCTGAAGAAGAAGAGGAAGAAGATGACGATGGTGATGAGTCTGAAGCGTCTGATTCCAATGACTCTGAACCGTTGTACAAGTTAAGAGCACGTCGGCAAACAAATGTCAGTTACCGCTTTAACGACTATGACGACATGATTAACGAAGCAATTTCAGTAAGAACAAAACCATATTTTTCATCAATGGGTAGAAGACCCCTTCTCTATGACCATCTTATGAGTTTTTATCCCTATCTATGGCCACCACATTTTATACTCACATTTAATAAGAAGTATTGTTTTATGAATAGCTAACTGGATAAAATTATTTGTCTTATCAATTTACGAATTATATTATACTAAAGAATTTTAAAAACCTGATAGCTTTTTAAGCAATGTAGTTAAAAAGGTTACAGAACATTCAATATTAAATAAAATCACTTTAATAGGAACCCATTCTAACTGTAGGTGGTAAAAACTATTGAATTGGAAACAGTTAAGCAGCCTATGTTGGGGCACCCTGCCTTGAGGAAGTTCTTGACAATTCCCTGAAGAGGGGTTGGTAGCTCTTTGATTTTTTTTAGGGCAGGGGTTTTTGGAATTAGCGACGTCAATAATTTTCCCGCTACCATTTTCTGACTAACGAGAAACTGCTGATAAGGAATTAGGATCCATGATAAGATGAATCATATTAAGTGGTTAGGAGGAGATTGAAGTTAGAGAAAGAGAAGGGGAGGGAAATGAACACTGGCCGGTGGTGGGGGTGGTTGCTGTCATGATAACATTATCGTTTAGGTTTAACGCAGTCGGTTTAAAATGTGGATATGCCTACAAACTGCCTGCCCAAGAACATATTTATGATTTAAGTTTTTCGATGAACAAATATATATTATTGTAAAAACAATACCAATTTGCAAAATCATTTTAGATCTAAATAAATTTTTGCAAAACAGCCAGCCTATACCTAATGCCTCATAAAAAAAAAATAAGAAAACATAACCCAACAAACAATGTTTACTTGAATTTGGACTATATATCAGTAGGGCTCAAAGGATGTGTTCAAAGAGAACCAATTTTGGAACTAACTTTATTAGTTTTTAAAAAAGTCATAATTTTAAGTTAAATAATACATGTACATTTTTATGGTGATTTTCTGATTTTGAAGCGGAAAGTATCTGCTATGATCTTTCATAAAACCAATACTTTATCTATAAAGGGACTTATATACAAATACTGATGTATTATACATTATGTTTGTTTTTACGTATAGGGAGAAACTGGTAATGAGGTTACAGATATTTCTAAAACTTCTCAACCAACAAAAGAAGGTGAAAATGAAAATTCAGATTCGGAAAACGAGTTTAGTAAACCAGAGGGATCTCCTATTGCTCCAGCATTATTACATTTGTCGAGGCGCAGGAAATCAAAAAAGTTAACAAACTTGGATGTTACCTCTGATGATGATTCCGATGATGATTTTAAAGGACCATCGTAAGTCAACAATAAATCTATGAAATATAAAAACTTGCATTTATTTGTATTATATGTTTTTATGTTATAGTGAGGAAGAAGATGAAGACGAGGAAGAAGGAAGCGAGTATAGTGATGATTCTGTTAGGAAACGCCCTCAACCAACTAGACGGTCTGTAAGGAATCGTAGAACAGTTGTTGATCCCGACTTCAGTGAGTTCAATTATAACAAAAGTAATATTTAAGTACAATATCATAACTAACATTTGTTTTTATTAAGTCAATGACGATACAAGTGATGAAAGTGATCACAAGAAAAAGAAAAAGAGAACTAGAGAATGGTCAGAATCCGAAGACAGTGAAGAAGAAGACATAACTTGGGGGAAAAGAGCTAAGAAACGTGCTAATGTATCATCAACATTTAAACAATCTAAAGTATCGAAAAGGAAACGAAAAGCAAATGATAATTACAAAGTACCTGGTAGACCAAAGGTAGTATACTATATCTTATATCTTTTTATTTAGATTACACAAGTTTTTAATTAAATGTTTGATGATAAATTTACAATTTTTTTCTCCAGATTCAGTATGGACTTGATTCAGATTCTGAATCTGACGGTAAACCTTTAAGAAAAACAAGAAAAAAACAAGTAACTTATGCTGAATCTGATGATTCTGAAGAAGTATGTCGATTTAAAATAGTTAAAAATTTTCTTAACATAGATTTTATTTAAAAATAATTTTTAAATACCACCCGTATTTTGGGCACAAAACTCGTTGTGCAGGGGACAATGTTTTTTTCCGGTTGTACTCGTAGTAGAATTACAAAATATTTACAATACATAGAGAAGAACATCGCCGGATGGCTTCTTTTCATGTAAATTAATGCCCTATGTTAACTTCACCACAATGACTTATTGTATATAACGTTTGCACAGATTGTTGTTTTACAAAAATTCTTAGATTCACAATATCAGAACTTTCCTCTATAATGAATTATCTCATTCAGTTCTTCATTTTACAATCTCAATACCTCTCTATAAACTTTTCTGTACACGCTTTATTGTTTTGTGACTGATGAACTTTATTTTGTTTGTACTTAGGAAGTTAAACCAAAACGATCAAAAGCTTTGAGTGATGACGAAGATGAATATGTGTTAAATGATGATGAACTTGATACAGAAAAAGATGACATAAATGAAGACGCAGATGATATTGAAGATGAAGACTTGCCTAAAGATGACGAAGACAAAGAAGAAACCTCGACAACTCCTGTACAACGTATTGCAACACCGGTAAAATCTCCGCAACAAGCTGATGTACCTGTTCAGAAACCCGTCAAAGACGAATTACCTCTTGCTGATGCGAGTTGCGATCCACCGCAAGTAGACATCGTTGGAAATCATACATCTCCAAATCAACGGATATTGCCCATCCAACTGGTAACAGACAATCCAGCAGATAACAAAAAAGAAACTGTATCTTCTCGTTCCCAAAAATCACCTACCGCCATTGATTTTTCGGCTTATCCGTATTCGCCGGAGAAAGTTGCCATTCCACCTCCTACCCACGCGTACCCTGTACCACCTAGGCTACCCGTTCAAGCGTTTGTAAACAAACAAGTGTCGTCCCCCGTACTGCCTGTTCCATACACGGGTTATAGAAACAAAATTCCCATCAATCCGGCACCTTATGGTCCTATCCCTCAGGGACAACAAGTGTACCACGCCCCTGGTAGTTTTTCATATCCAGTGGATTATGGAAATACTGCTGCGTTACATCACCAACAACGACCACTACCTCAAGGATTCGAACCAGCGTTAAGGACCACTGTCCTCCCACCAACACACGAAGTTCCCAGAGGTAACGATGAAAATCCTTCTAGCGAATTCGGCGGCTTAGTATCATACTTTTCAAGTCAACAAGAAGATGACTTTGATGCATGATTTAATTAACTTATAAATAATTATTTTATACAGCCTATCCTTTAGAGTATTACTATTTTTTTTTGGGTAACCATTTATCTAAGATCTAACCAAAACTAATTACAATTTGTTAGGAAAATTTTTAAAATTTAGGCTGTGCTTCATAATTAATAGTTCTAGCTTAAGAATTGTAAATCATCAACAATCTTGATTTGTAATATCGAACAATTGTTTCACATACAAAACAACAATTTACGTATTCTATCTATTTATTTAAAATTATGTCAATTTTAATTTTGCAATAGTGAGAGTTTTTTCTTTACATTTTTATTATTATTTTTTTTTATTGATCATTTATTTAATTATTATTATTTTGGCCCCAAAAATATACTCTAAAAAATACCTAGCGGACAATTTTGCTCGTATAATGTAATATATGTATAATTTATAATTTAGACATAGTGTTACGAATCATAATGTATAAGCTTAGTTTGTGTGATTACACTAAACTTATTGTTACGTTATAAGTCAGTAGACATGATTAAAAACAGTGTTTATAATACATGTTTCAAATGATCAAATAAGTTTTGTATAAAGTATATATAATTAAACTCTAGTTTTACTTTATAGATGTGTATTCATATTTTTCATATAAAATTTTTATTTGTATTAATAGATTATTTATTTCTCATTTTACTTTTGTTATTAATATTAATATATATGAATATATTCTGACTCGAATTGTCAAAGACCATTGTACTCAGTACTTTTAAAAAAAAATTATTGGCAAAACTTAAATTGATTATCCTTTCAGACTACAATTTTCAACAATGAATATAGTATTTGTGTTTTGACAATCTCGTTAGAAATTAACTTACCAATTAGATTGTCACCAAATTTCATGTGTATTTTAATAAGACTTTTTTAAATACTAAAATACACACCAACAATATATTATTCAGTGTTTGAATGTTCACAAAAATATTAATTTTTTCCTGTTCAATTTTTTTCTCGAATATTTAATATTTTTACAATAAATAAACACATTAATTTAGTTGCTTTTTTATGAAAATAGTCAATAAAGTAAACTTTTATACTTTACGTTTACAATGTTAATATTTGATAACATTCACAATATAGTAACTAAATATTTAATTATATAGAGACGGCCACCCTTTTCCTAAACTTCTACTTGACACAATCTCGCACATAATTTTCAATCGCATCCAGCCACCTCATTTAAATCAGTTTGCACTCTAAACTGTAAACAATACACATCCCATTTGCAATTTAATCTTTTAGTTGAGAACACACATATTTTCCAAGAAACATAACACACTAACATATTAATTTAAATGATTGTGTTCAAACTAAAATATTATACACTTTAATTTCATAAATTTTCTATACTTATTATAAGGCTTAGGACTGTCTGAAAATTTATAAATTTGATGTAAATAGTTTTAGATAAAACTACTTAAAAATCATAAACCAAAATTTAACAACAACATATAATTAACAAATAATACAATTTTAGTGGTTTACTTAAGTTTTTTTGAAAATAAGTAAAAGTCAATAAATTCCAAGTACAGATTAGTGTGTGTTTCTCAGAATAGTCAATCACACAACACATAGTTTTCATAATTAAACTAACTTTGCAATTTTTGTTAGCGCATAAAAAGGTTGTAATTACCATTTTTTAAATAACCTAAATTCGCAAATTGTAAATTTTTTTAAAATCATGTTTTTTACTATGAGTACTTGTAACCTTTAAGTCAATTATCGTCGTGCTTAATTGGACGTTGTCATCCAACTAAACACAATTAATAGATGTGTGGGCAAACAAGAAGACACATATTAGCAGTAATATGATCAAGTACGCAAACAAGCCACAAGAAAGTCTTCGTTTTAAGGATTTTATCTCTAAACAGTGTATAAAATTATAATTAAAAATAATGTTTTTGTTATTTTTGATACAGACCTGAGAAAACAGGCAGTAAATGTATGTTAATTGAATATTATTATCTATCCTAAATTAAAATTTGTAATTAATATATAAAATACAAATTTTTTGCACTGCTTTATTATTTTAATTATTAATAAAAAAAATGTAAGGAATAAAAACCTACGTAAAAAACCGAGTGGTTGCACTTATAATAAATGACCCACTCATGAATTGCACAAAACAAAAAGTCATTAAAAAGAAACAGAAAATGTATTTATAAAATATGTACACCTATTTTCACTTATTTATACTAATATAATAACTGTTGTATTATAAATATCAATGTGATATAAAATAGAATTCATAGAGATAAAAAAAAAATGAATCACAATATTACAATTTTATTGAAATATAATTTTGTTTTTAAAGAATAAGACTCGTTAAAATAAAATAAACAACGCTTATAAAAAAAACATCACAATACACCACAAATTGTTTAATACAAACAAGAAATTACTTATAATAATTTTTTTTAAATACTTTACATATAAAAAAACAAAATGGGCTAAAACTGTAATAGTTACACACTTTTATTATCGCAGTTTAAATTCATTATTTTAATTGTATTTAGAAAATGTATAATAAAATTGCACATATTATAATATAAATATTTGCACTCGAAAAAATTATCAAACAAAACAAACAAGAGTTTAAAAATTGTATATAATATTTATAAATTAAAACGTAATTAGAATTAACAAAGAGGTATACCAATATTAATTTAAAGTAACAAAATAAAAATAATACTACTTGTATGTCAATTGCAATTAAAATTAACTAACCTTTTTTTTAAATTGTTCATTTTTTATCGTAAGAAAAAATGGGTAACTTACATTGATATAATTTTCAATATTTTATTACATTAGTTAAGTTTATATAGCTTAGCGGTTTTAAAATTAACGGTAACTCACCCTGTGCAAGTTATATTTGTCAACTCACTGTATATACATCAACGCCTAACATCTCTTTAATTTTGTTATCATAGCGTACTAAAACGATAGGACCGCTTTCTTCGGATACCACCTTTGGCGGTTCAGGTTTACAATACCCTAATGGTGTTTTGGCTGAACAACACTCATTAAAACGTGCTGCGGGAATCGTGGTCGTTGCGTTTTCATCATCGAGTAATTTGACTAGAGCCTCGGTCGTTTTGACGGATAAAGCACTCGATACGTCTGAAAACAACACCCACTCGGTGTCGTCGCTGCTGTCCAATAATCTGTACACGTCGGGCAGCGTTTGTTCAGAAAATTCAAGCTGAAATGTTGGGTTTTCCGATGAAGACTGTGGAGGCGATAACCACAACATACGATCGACAAATTGAGGTTCACCTAAAATATAAACAATTAATTAACGACTGTCTAATATGAATTACAAAATAAAAATTAGGTATACTAACAATTTAAAGAAGTTTCGTCAAAATTCCAAACCGGTACGTTGCCAGTGCCTTGAATATCATTCATGTGGAACTCGAGGAGCATCTTAGTTTGCTTATCTGTAGCTATCGACAATGGAGATTGTCCTGAATAGGTAGCCAATTTCGGATCAGCTCCGTAACTGAGTAACAATCGTACCAAATGGACATCACCGTTTTCTACGGCTTCGTGTAACGGCCTAAAAAATCAATATATATAATTATAATTATAATATTGCTATATACACAATATATTTATTTGTAGTACTAACCGTATGCCTCCTTGGGCGCTAGCACTGACATCGGCACCGAACTGAAGCAACAACTTAGCAATTTCATAATGACCTTGTGAACACGCTTCGTGCAACGGCGTATATCCTGCATTGTCGGCAATTGAAGGAACATATTCAAGTCTCTCTATACAATACGCGACAACATCCTGAAATTAAATATTTAAACCAAGTTAGTAACATTATAATATGTTTTAGTTAAACACATAAGTTATTTAATATCAATACTAACAATTCAACAGGGAAATTGTACAAAATGTAATATAATATTTACTACATTTTTTATTGATGCAGTATTTAGTAAAAATAAGTTTTCTGTTTACATACCTTGCAACCTTGTCTCGCAGCACGATGCAGTATAGTTTCACCGTGCCCTTTGTTTACAATCCATCCTTTGACTTCAGCTTGAATCTCCGATGCGAATCGAGGAGTAACAGGTTTCAGTTGTGGCTGAATCACCACTGGTTTCTTTTCAATGGGTTCTGTCGTAGTACACTTCTTCTTTTTCTTTTTTATGTAGTCAAATCCTGACCTAAATTTCTTGCGTATCAGCTTCCTTTTAAAAAAAATTTGCGCAGCTGGCTTTTCTTCTATTACTTCATGTAATTGACTATCATCAACAACAATTTCCTTGTTTACAACTTCATCGTTTTTTTCATTTTCTTGCCTACGTTTACGTAAGTTACGCTGCATTAACTTTTCAGCAGACACAATTTTTTCGCGCTTTATTCTACCCTTAAATACATCTCGTCGACCAAAAAGATGACCTATTCGTTTTATTGTATTTTTTAACCCTTTTTTGCCGACTACCTGAGAATTTACTTTTGGTTCTTTGACAGGCGGCATGTGAGAAATATCCATAATTGACGTAAGCGAGACTTGGTCAGCCCCCACAGTACCGGTTGTTGGCGCGGATACTACAGATATTAATTTAGACGGTAAACGCAATGATCGTTTAAACTTATACAACTCATCTTTCCAGTCGGGTGTATGTAAAGACTTCTCACCTAGCGATTTCTTTCGTCTACGTTTTGGAATGTTTTTAACGGCGTTTTTCTTTTTGACGGGCTCTTGTTTTGCCAGCGGTTTACTGCGAGACCTCAATCTCATTTTCAATGTTTCGTCATTTTCCTTATTGTTTAATTTTTTAGTTACGACTGCCGGAGCTGGAGTTGGAGATGAGCATTTCTTCCTCCGTTTTGTAGGTATCTTTTCTTCCTCAAAATGTGCAAAGGCGTCATCTAAAAGCTCGTCAAATGCATAAGTATAATCTTTTAAAGAGTTTTTTCGTCTAAGGGATTGTCGTGGGTTATATTTCCCATCAGACTTTCTCGTGTTTTCGTTTCTCGTTACATGTTCTTTTTCAGTTTTTTTCCTAGTGGTGGTCTCTTTTCTTAATTCTTTTTTCACTTCTTTCTTTTCTTCTTCTTTGTTTTTAACATCTTTTTTTTCTTCTTTGGTGTCTTTTTTATCATCTTTCTTGTCGTTTTTTTTCAAATCTTTTTTTTCTTCTTTCTTTATGTCTTTTTTCACCTTTTTTCTTTCTATTTTTACTTCCTTTTTTACATCTTTCTTTTCTCCTTTCTTTAAGTCTTTCTTTTCGATTTTAACTTCTTTCTTTAGTTCTTTTTTTTCTACTTTAAGTTGCTTCTTTTCCTTTTTGACTTCTACTTGTTTTTTAATCTTCTCTTTTTTCAATAGCTCTTCTTTTTCATTCTTTTTCAGATAACGATTAATGTATTTAGCAGGCACAGCCCGATAAGGCTTAATGTTAGCATTCTTGTGTGGCTTTTGTTTTGGTCGTTTATCATTTATGTTTTCATTCACCGGTTCTTCAATGTCTAAAAGTTTACTATTATCAATATTATCCGTAAAGACAGATTTTCTTTCGTTTTCTGTACTGGCTTTTGGTACATCATCGACCTTGGATTTCTGTTCATCAGAGGGTTTCTCTTGTGGCAATTCCAGTTTAATATTTTCTGTTGGTTTTTCCACATACTCTTCACATAATTTATCTTGCTCAGAGCCTGAAACCGGCTCAACTTTAATACGTTTAGTATATTTTCTTTTGGATTCTTTGGGCACTTTTCGTTTGGTTGGTGATTTAACTTTTTTATTATCTTGTGTCTCTGCTAGTTGAGATACAAACGAGTTGCACGTATTCATCCAAAAGTCTTCATCGTCATCATTATCTTTTTCTACGTTGTCTTTGTTTAACAAACACAGTTCTGAATCTTTGATCGGCGATGGTTCTTTCCTTAAAAAAACAAAAACAAAAAATGAAACAATGAAATATGAATGTTACATGGGTAATATTTTAAATCATAAATAAATATAATACTGTACTTTATTTCTAATTTTAGATCTATGGCCACTTGGGTTTGAGCGGGCGGAATTTGTTCTTGTTTGGTCGGAGGAGTGGCGTTGGGCGACGGTAAAAACGGATGGGGGGAAATGGCTGTAGCCGCAGCCATTGGACTACTTATCCTCATGTTATTACACGATCTCTCGGTGGTTATCTAAAATTCAAAACAAATAATATATTATTAAAGTACATTTATGGCTGAAAGTCAAAATTTGATAACAAAATTGGGTATTTTTTGTTACACGTTTAAAACATGAGCTTGCAGTTATAATACTTATTCACCCATGAAGGTACATTATTAATACTTATGAACCGTACTTGTTTCCTCTCAGCCTTTGTCTTAATACGAGGGGCATTGCAGTTTGCCCTGTCCATGTAATAGTCTATCTTCTTCGGAAAAGGCGTTCCAGTACGTTCAGTCATATAATAATCTGTCTTTTTCAAAGGTGTAGTCGATGGTTCTTTTCGAATAGGTGTTGAGAACACCATGGCAGGAGTGGATGGTGCTTCCGCGATTTGTGGTTTGCTTGCGTCACGAGCTTCAATATTTTGTTTAAGTATTTCCAATACCCGTTTGTCCGCCTGTGCCGGACTGTGTTGTTGCAGCTGTTGTTTCTTTGACGAAGTGTACAAATTAAATTTATATTCTATCTGTCTGTCGATAGCAGCCCGCCATGCTTCGTCAGCAGACGACAGGCTGGTTGGAGGTTGGGGCTGAGTTGCTGGCAGTGGTGGTAGGGGTTGTTGGTAATTCTGCTGAGAATTAGTTTGCTGGTAGACCGGCGGTGTGGTGGTACGACATACATTGAAATCCGGTTTGAAATTGACTTTTGGAATATCGTGCCCGAAAGGATGAATTCGATCATCAGTTGAATCCGCCGACCGACAAACAGTCTTGACGGACAAGTCCAAGGGAGATTCACGTTTGGCCTCAAATCTCAAAGTGGACATTCGAGTACTGCTGTTTTCGCGAGTGACTTTTATCTGTAATAAATACAAATGTCTAATTTTAGTAAACAGAAAAATCATTTTTAGCGGCCACCCATGCCCTGTCCCCACCGCTGGTGTTCCTCACCTATAAAAACCCAACCAACACCCAAAACCAATCAACAACAAAACAACCAACAGCAAATGGCCGAAGTTACCGGAGCTTAGAAAAAAAACATCAATTTCTGCTATTGTGTAAACATTTTTAAAATTGTAAAAAGAAAAACATTTTGCACGCCACAATACATAATATATATATTTATAATAATGTTATATTTTATAATATGCGGCCATTAAGAGGGCGTCGCACCGCCCATTTTTAAGGAGTATAGGCAATTTTTTACAAAATCTTAATTTAAAAGTTAAACCGTGATGTGTAATTATTAGTTTAATAACTAGGACTCTATTTTGGTAGTTAATTTATTTTTTGGACTATCACAGCATCCTTGAAAGCGACTTAAAAATGTTTTTTTATCTCTACACGTTTAAGCAGAATGAAAATAACTCGTTTAATTTTGGTTTTAGAGTAAGAGCACCTATTATAAAATTAAAAGAGAACAATATTAAGGAGGGCAAGACGGTGCGTTTTTTTTTTCATTATTCCGAGTATAACGCTCAATACGTTAGTTTAGAAATAACGACTATTTTAACATTTTTAAATGGCTGTAACTTTTCAAAAAATGAATTTTTTTTTTAAAACGCACCATCGTCTTGCACTCCGAAATATTGTTCTCTTTTAATTTTATAATGGGTGCTTTTATTCTAAAACCAAAATTAAGCGAGTTATTTTCAGTTGGCGTAAACATGTTTTTACCACTGAAAATCACCGGTGCGACGCCCTCTTAAGGAACAACAAGAGAAAAGAAATTATTTTCTTTTTTGCATTTATCAAGGTAAAAACAAACTATAATTCTTAAGCAACCTCTAGGGCCTATACTCTTAAAAATTGTCAACACCGATTTTATTCGCTCATTGTGAGCAGTTGTTGACCTTGAATGACATAAACATTTTTTTTTTTTAATAATAGGTAGTCCTTGGACGACCTGTCAACCCTAAGCCAAAAAATATACCAAAATTTAAACATAATTTAATTTTTACTCTAAATCTTATAAATTCAAATATTTAAGATTAAACTGATGATGTTTATATAAAAACTAGCCATAATCAATAGCTATAATGGCTAGCATAATCAATGGCTAGCCTATTCAATGTTTGTTTCGAAATCATCTATATGATAAACTCAAGTTTAAAACCAGCCCATACGTGAAAAAAATTGTAATTGTTGGTTTCAAAAACATCCATAATAGAGGAAATTGGCAACAGAACCAACTATATCAAAATCATAAATCTATTTAACTCTTGTAATAATATTTTTATAAAATAAATCTTCGTACACAACACGTATACACTCCAAAGCTTTGATGATTTCATATTATTTTAAAACCATAGTCAAATCTTAACCTTATTTTCGTTTTTTGTTGTTTTTGAAAATTTCAAAAATTGCTCAAAGTCTGATTTTGAAAATGGACGCCTCATATTATGCTAAATTACTCACAGACACCTAAAATCGGCCGACCTGTAGACGGCGTTGGTGGCAATCGAGTTACGACGGAAATCAAATATCGAGATGACGTCACGAGTGTGATGTAACAATATTATATTATTTTTATGGATGGACAACGTTGAAAATAGATTCGAACTCGACGGCCGATTGTACGGACACGATATTTTTACTACGATAACACGTTAAATTCGTAATAACAGAATAAACGAAAATTTGATAAGCTGTAAACAACAACACTTTTACATTTCTTCTAAACAACTAAATTATTCATCTTCCTCGTCCGACGTTTAGCAATATTATAATTATTACGGACGCTAAGCTATATTATTTAAATGTTAAAAAGAAGCCACACATGTTACAACTTTTTCAAAGCATTCGCGGTAGACCTATATGGGCAAGTTTTTGGAAAACTTATTATTTTGTAAATTTATTGGAATGGTATCACAAAAACAATAGACAGTTTTAATGTAAACAAAAACATGGCGGCCTTCTTCTCGTTAGTTATATTCATAATTAATTATACCTATACACAACCAAAAATACTAATGTATAGATTCTTACAGATGTGTAGATGACACATGTTTATATTTTGCTACGTTTTTGTGAGATAAGTATCTTCCCCGTGTTAATTGTGTTATCAGTGTCCCCGGGACCTATAGTATCGATTATACTTTATTGATCGAGTATACTTTATTAGTAAACATTATTGTTTTATTTGACTATCACGTCGCTGGTCATTTATGTTGATTTTCTAAAGAAATCAGTTATTTGCTTTCCCAGAACTTACAACTTTCCCGAAAATTCAGATAGAAAATGTAGAATTTATTTAAATAATTTTAAGACAAGCTAATATTAGTTAAAAAATATATTTTTTCGTTTTTTTTAGCTAGTGTTAATAATTAAAAATAATCATGGATAAAACACATGTGAAAAAGACATATTTTAAGACTTTATCTATATTATGATATAGATCTATAATATAATATTATAATATATGATTTATACTATGAACAACACGTTAATATGATAAATATGCTTTCTTAGCCAAACAGATGAAAACGACCATTAATTAACTTTGAAAATATACCATTGAGTCAAGTGTTGCGACTTTAAAATCAAAAACTATTTTAATAAATATCTTATCTTAACGACTCCGGCTACAAATTTAAAACTTTTAACCTACCTACCTAACCTCGTCGCTTTGTAATAATTGACTGATAAGTCGCGAGATTACTGACCTGAGTTGTTATTTGGACTGGCAGTCTGACGGGGAGCGTTGTTTTTTGCAAGTTGAGCGGGTAATTCTGGATCTGCGCCGGTTGCTGCGGTGATGGTTGTTGTTGTTGCTGCTGCTGTTGTGGTTGGCGAGGAGTCAGATGAACGGCAGAGGTAGTTTGTTGGTGGTGGTGAGGTGATGCCGACGTGGAGGCCGGTTGATGGAATCCGTTTATGGCGGCGCCGTTGGGTTGAAACACCGGCGTCCGAGCGTCTTGCCGACCGAACACATTCCACCGATGATCGGTGGACGCGGACGTCGATGGCTGTTGAGGAGCGAACGGCCTGTGGTACTGTTGACCACCGCCGCCGTTGTTGCTACTGCTCGAGGAGCTATTGTTGCTGGTACTGCCGCCGTCGTAAGGCTTAATTTGGAACGGCCTGGACTCAAGGTAGGACGGCTGTACCGAGGCCGGTCGTTTGTCGTCGGCGGCCACCGTGCGGTGGTAGCGCAGAGGTTCGGGTTTTTGCACGATCACGCGGTTGGCTTCGGCCGGTTTGGCTTGAGCGATGGGCACGGCTCGAACTCCACTGCGGGGTTGCTCCAACTTGGGATCATACCTGATGGCCAAGTGCGACGATTGCGAACCACCAGTTATCGGCACCATACCAGCCGGCAATTCCGACTTGGGTCTTTCCAACGGATGGTACCTAAAAGAAAAATCGGTTCATTAGCGTAAGTCTTGTCTATTTAAAAAAAAAAACAAAAAGAAAATAACGTTATTTTTCACGATAAAAACGGCGTGAATGCCTTTTTTGGACTAAATCTAATTATCCCGCTTTAGAACTGTCCCTAAAAAACTCAAAACAAAGAAAAAATGTCAAACCTTACTGAGTGAAAGGGTTAACACTTCACTTAACGTAGGTACTCTATAGTGCTCAGGAAAATACTAAAATAAGTAAATATTAGGTAATTTTATACCTAATACATTAATATAAAGAATTAATACAAATATATTCAAAAAGAACTAAAACATTTATAATAATTTCTGAGAAAACGAGTGTCTTGGGCTAAACAAATCACAAACAAATTTAAAATCAACTAAATGTTCAAAATATTAAATGTTACAACAATTATTACGATAGTAATCGCGTTTTTAGTTTCATAAAAATGCAAGAAAAAAAAATTGTTTAAAAAGTAGCCATGCCGATTAATCCGTACGCGTTTGATTTAATACAATTTCTCAAAATGATAAAGACGTTATCTCAGCTCGACACGCTTACCGAATAGTATGCGATTGTAGTACACACAAACCGATAATTCTCGCAGCAGCTGTAACTATATACTGATAATATTACTACAACACAGTTTGATTTTGCGAAGCGTGCTGCGCACACACAAACAATAATCGTTCTCGTTATCTAGCCCGGTAGTGGTGAAGTGTTTACTACACCGTGCTGTGTGTTTGCTGGAATTTCATCGAAAAAATACGTACCTAATTGGTATTTGATTGATAACTTAACACAACCTAACAGTAAACCATTAAACTTTTATTAAGTTCTCCTAATAAAAATTAAAAACGCTCCGATTTAAAATAAAAATATTCAGATATAAATTCGTCAAAGACCGTCGCGATAATAATCTAAAAAACGTTTGGACAACTAAACATATGATAATGAAGAATAATTACTTGGGCGGTGTTTGTATTGGCTTGAACCTCAAATAATCCCTGTCTTGCAGGGCTTGGCTGTGCGACGACACCGTGTTCCTGTTTAAGTAATGGGAATGCGGCGTCGGCGGCGGCGTTTCTGGCACGGTGGGTGGTTGTACGCCGCCTTGCTGTTCCTTGGGCACGGTGAACGGCGATTGCGACGGTTTGGAAATCGTATACGGCGAAGGCACCGGTGCCGGCGGGTACGGCGATTGCTGCTGCGGTTTGCTGGGCGCATATTTATATGGCGATTGGTGATGTTGAGGCGGCGGCGGCGGCTGTTGTTGCTGTTGCTGCTGCGGAACAGGTTGCGGCGGCGTTACTTTGAACGACGATTGCGGTTGCTGCGCGGCCGGCGGTTTGATGTGCTGTTGTTGTTGTTGTTGTGGCTGTTGGTAAGGAGATTTGTAAGGAGACGGCGGACCGGTGGCCGATGCCGCCGCCGTGGACAGGAACAGTTGCTGCCGCTTTTGAAACACGGTCGACGGCGGCTGGAACTGCGACTGGAAAGCGGCCGGTTTCGGGTCGACCGCTGTACGCGGATAGTGGCCCGGCGACGAATACGGCTGGTAAGTGTACCGCATGTGCGGATGGTAACCGAAACGTTCGGCGGCCGCCGAGGACGGTTCGGAGTTCATCGCCGTCCTGCCGTTAGCGTCCGGATGGTGCGGGTGCATTTGGTGCGGTAACTCCAGCTGGCCGTCCGTCGGGATCCCTTGAAAGTACTTTCTAGTTTTTTCTAGCATGTTGCTATAACCGAAATCCATAATATTACTTCAGCCTAGGGTTAAAAGAAAAAAGAAAAATCAAATAAGTATGTTGCCAGAACTGAAATGAGCTAAGGAGGTATTGTAAATGTTAATATCAATAATAATTAACATTTTTAAAAAAATATTTTGAAATCAAATTTTTCTACGCTGTACGCGTATAATAGTTTTTGTTTTCAAAAAGTTTATAGGCAAACAATAATAGGTCAATTGATATATTTTAAAACTAGTCCGACCGTTTTGTAAAAAACAGTTTTATTATTTGTAGTTTTAAAAAAGTAATACGTTTTCTTAGTAAAATTGTTATTCTTTTTAAAATAGAAACCCACTTTTTTAAATTTCAACAAAAAAAGCAATAAAATACATAGATAAAATGTTGTATATCCAGTATAAATGCGCGAATTATCTAGTGGAAATTAGCCAATTGATCACCGTTAAAGACAATGGCGCAATGACATGGGTGGGTCAGGTGTTAATTAAAAAACATAATATATTGTGATAAAACTACGATATGGCTTTTATCTCCGAGTAGAAAAAGGTGGGCGAGCCTGTATGTAACGTTTTGAATAATGCGCCGAAAGTTACGAATCGATACGGCTCCGCGTAGCAATGACAATTGATATATTGTTAGGTCTGACGGTCGTACACGTTAAACTTAATTAGTGTACGTCAGTGACTCCTACTGTAATTGGTGGTAATGGCATTGATAATTCAGACAGTGCTGAAATAGGCAAATTACGAAGGACAATCAGAAGTGCACTGAACGAAGAACCACAGTAAAAAATCAATAATTAAAATATGTATCAAGCCTCCTGCCTCTATAAAATGATTTTATTAAGGAGCCTTTACACTAGCATTTATTAAGGCGCATTGTATAGGCAATATAAACATTTTAATCGTATATATTACCATACAAAAGAAGTATCTATTTTTATATTTCATATTTTTTGTGACTTTTATAACACATATAGGATCTATTTTTGTACAAAAACATAGGTTTCTATTTCGAACAGAACTTATCTAAAAATACTCCGATTTAAGTTTTGAACAAACATTTGCATTCTTCATAACATTATCAAGGCATCATCGTGACACTATTATAAAAAAAAACGCAATTTTTAACTTTTATTTTTGAACTTAAAATAATAAATTAACGAAAAGTAATTTTAAAATTATGCCTCGGTCGATGTCTTCCAAATGTTATGAAGAATTCAAATATTTGTTTAAAACCTAAAGCGGAATATTCTTAGGAACCGTTGTTTTCGACCAAAAATACGCAAGTGTGAAGGCCCTTAATACAAAAAACATTTACAATTTTCAATTTGTCAATTTTGTTTTAGAATTAATTAATAATAATATTTCTTTAAAATAAATGATAGAACAATAATTGTACAGAGCCAATACCGATGACGATTATATTAAATAGCTTTTTGGTCGAGTGTGTTCAATAAAACTGTGACAGCTCTAAATTAAAACTCCGTTCACATCAGAGCTATACAAAACCTTAATTATGTTTTTTTTTCAATACATTAATAAACATTTTTAACTTAAAAGAGTTTTGATTTGGAAACACCACCACACGAGTGTTGTGTTTGTTCAATACTCGTCGATAATAAAACTGATAACGACCATATTATGTGCACAGCTGTTATTAATGCTTTCGTTGTAGGACAACGTTTTAGCTGTTATACCAAGAATGTATTTTATGATTTAATAACAATAAATGATTTAACTATAACATCTATTTGTCTTTTGGCGGATATCAACTTTTAAATGCAGCGCAACATAATAATAATTACTATAATTATTATATCAACGTTAGTGAAGGGGGGGGGTATATGTACTATGCACAATAATTATAAGTTTGTTGAACTCTAGTGATACAATTAAAACGGATTGTGAGTCAATAATTAAATAAATACAAATCGACCTTGAACCATACACTACCGTGTTATCTTTACCCATTGTGCACACACCAATCATTATTTTTTGTTTTAATAGGGGCACACACACTGTTGCTGCGCACCACTTATTATTATTTTTTTTTTTTCATTGCATCGAAATGCAACCTAAACTGCGTGTTCCGTTTCTACACGTCTTAAATAGGAGATAAAATAAATAAAAAATAACGCTAAACCGTGTATGGGTCAGCGTCGCGCGTGGACAAAAGGGTAACGGCCTTGGTCGTGAGAACGACATGTTCGAACAAACTAAACAACTACATGAACTGGTAACTGTCGTTTCATAAAATATAAAACACTTTATTAGTACCTAATGCTATTATGCATGCCGAGACAACAGTTATAAAAATAATAATTGCCGGTTCGACTAGTGCATTAAAAAGAAACCGTTTTGATTAAACGCAAATAGATTCATTTTTTTCAATATAATATATTTACAGTCTTGCAATGCATCTAGTAGTAAATAGTATGATGCTTCTTACAAAATTTTTATAAAATTAAATAAATAAAAACAGAATTTGTCTTCAATATAAAGTGTTAATAAAGGTGGTGTTATTGATTATGTTTACACAATTAACCATTAAGCAGTAGTGAAACTACTCAAACAAAAAGATGAAAATTTGTCGAAGAATTCAAGACGACAATTATTATGACGTGTAGATTTTATTAATCGGATGAATGTCGTTTGTTATTACTTCTTAGTTACTAAACGGAGTAAAATAATGTTGACTGTAAATATAAACTACTAATATTACTTATTCTCGTAAGTATTATTACATCAGCGACTGTCAGAATTGAAAACAAATAATGTAATAATTGTTTTTCAAATAAAAAAACCAAAATGGTTTGCTGTTTCAAACTAAATTTGCAAAATCTTTTTTTTTTTTATTTTAAACATATTTTTAACAAGAATTATATTTTAAATAGGTCACATACGACACACCTAAAATTATTTTCGCTACTTCGGCAATGTTACTATTTGTTTTAACTCGCTAGATTTGTTTTTTTAGTATTTGAAATATAATTGCGATTTTGGTGAGCTTGTAAAAGTATTTCAAAACGTTAAAAATACATGTTTAGAACACTGTGCTGGTCGTACAAAGAAGGGGTAAAATAACATAACGAACTTGCGACGAACGGGTGATTTATAATACAAAAAAATCAATTAAGACCTGCAAAGTCTAAGTACGTGTTTTTCTTTAAAAAAAAATCAACCGACCTTGTTTTTTTTGGTTATAATATATATTTTTATGATAGATCATCTCATACCGTATCCGTATCGATTGAAATAACTAGCAAATGTATCTTCATAATACGTCTTCGATGGGCATAATTCGATTTTTAGCATGATTAAAACCTACTTACACCTACTCAGCATCGATACAAAACTGTGAAAATATTTGTTTTAAATAAAATAAAAATAATTCTTAAAACAATTATTAACCCATCACATATTGTTCGTTTGTTGACAAAATTAAAGACATTCAAGTGATTAAGATTAAACTTATCAATCAATCCAAATCGGCTGAAAATAATAAAGAAGTTACCTACTCCATACGCAACAAAAAGAGTTTACTTGAAAATAAAAACACGAAAAGACAGTCATAAACGTCCAGAACAGTCCCGCCGAAATAATATACTTCCTTTTTCGTAAAGAGTATAGACTATTACAAAAGTATAAAACTCGATAAGAAAATGACATGGTCTGAACGGTCTACACACGCGTTTAACGTCGTTTCCGCCAAGAAACGGGTTTCCAAACTTAAACTCTATCCCCTAACTTTTGAATTAGCCTTTAGGCTGCGACGTTAATTTGTCCGGTTCGAGCGGAAACAAACCGCTCATCATTTTTCAACGGTGTTGTGCTCCACACACAAACACTTCCTTCTTCCACAGCCATAACGTATTTACAACAACACCCGAAGTCTAGTGGAAAACTTTGTCACAGACGGGTCGCACAACATTGTATATGGGTCAACGACCGACGATTTGGCTTCCAACTCATTTACTCGACAGATAAGTAGGGAAAGGCGCGTGGCGACGCCTCCTGTGTGTTAATGCGACGTAGTAGTGTCATCATCAATCGTTTGTCGCTTTGCCAACGCCAAGTTGAGTGTTTTTATTTTTTTCGCGCAACGGATATTATATGTTTCATTCCAAATATGGACTGAGCGAGACCTCTAGCACGTCGCACTCTATCAAAGAGTATAACTGATACATAATAATAATAATGTACAAAACAAAATGAAACTCATCGCCAACGCCAACCCGCGAGTCAACAAAAATATAATTTAAACAACAACGTTGTGGGCCCTTATCGGCCACGACCGTTATCAACTTACTGCATCAACGCCGTGTAATAAACGCACTAGACTTTGTACAATATATTATGTAAGTCTGAAAGTGTACCAAGGTGATCAATTTCAATTAAGGCGATAATATTAAACAATTTTCTTTTGAAAAACATTTTTGTTTATGTCATTTAACAAAATACAAATAAAATTTTCGTATATTAATTTTTTTGTTTATTTTTTAGAGCCCTGCCTATTTTTCAAAACAAATTATAAGATATGTCATTCACAAACTATTTAAGTGAGCATTTTTTACTATAATCCGTGTCGTGTGTCAGGTAAGATTCTTCCAATAATATTCGATTCCATTATTTACTCGACACATTCGAATAACATCGAACGGTTTATTATTGCGTGTACTACCCACCGAATACCGAATGCAAATAGTGTGCGGGGCACAGCTCGGTTACAATATAAAGCCGGGACACAGTCGAGCCGGAAAGGGTGTGTCGATTTCCAAACGGGTAAATGCAAATCGAATTTTTACACAATTATCACAATTCACTATTTTGGCAGTGAACTCCATCCAACGGGCGCATGCGGTATGCCAAAAATAATACCGTTTTCCGGTCGTCGTACTGTACTGGCAATACATGTTGTACATTTTTTTTAATGTCATATTTAAAAGTATATATATATATACATATATATCACGTTTAATCCGCCCGTGGGGTCCTCGTTAAATATACAATATGCAACAAG